TGCTCGTAAAAATCGAGACAGAAAAGAATTTCTAATCTGATTTCGAGCATACCTAAATTGTGTATAAATTGTACAAATATTTTTTATACATACAAGAGAAAATTTCTGAAATAATTATTGAATACTAATTTAAAATAATTATACTTTCATGAATCATTTATGTTTTCGTTATAAGCAGATCAAAAGAAGGTCATATAGGAAGGTAAAAAATGCGGTAGGATTTTATGACATACAATATGTACACTGTACTAGTACAGTATAGTATATAATGTTATCAGAGTTATGAATATCAAACTACATGAAGCATAAAAAGAGCTAAGATTTTTTTCATCTGAAAATGTTTGATTTAATTGTGATAATCATTAGATATCCTTGCACATTTTATACTAAACTTGATATGCTAATTAAGTAGAAATTCTGTGTCGTATCATTAAGAATATATTTATACACTGTACCAGTGTAATCAAGAAAAGTCAGATTAGAATTAAAGAAAGCAAAACCATAACACTAGTTTGTTTATTTATTTGTTTTGTTTGTTTTTGGGGGTAAGTGCAGTATCAGCAAACCGAACGCAAGTGCGTTTGGTTGAGTACTAAAGCTCTATAACCTTGGGTATTAACGCCCGCAATGTCCTCCCTTCATGATTGAAGTAAGAACAAGTGTCTATACCTCATGGGAAAAATACAAATAGGGGACAACAAAAGATCGATTTTAAGGGTATCATTTGCGCTAAGAATATTTCTCATCTCTTTCAAAAATGACTGACGGTAATTATTTTTATGACGTAATAAAATTTCCAATATTCTCAGCTTTAACTGGGAAAACCCGAATTCCCTTTGTTTTATTCTAGACAGCCAATTCTTTAACCTATTCATTAGAAATCCACTTAATCAACACGCTTCTGATATTTTATATAATACTATTGGTTTAACTTATGACAGGGACAATAGACTCTTAAGATAAAATTTTGGAAAGAAGGTGGGGGCCAGTGATATGCATGAATCATTTGTACATTGTGAAACTGTGAAATATTTTTATCCGTTTTTCCTAGGGGGTACTAAATCAAAGTAATGTTTCAAAAAAAAAAATAAACACCAAAAATATTTAACGTATAGATGCAAGATACGTGTACATGTACATTATAGAATAGAAGATTAGAATTGCGGATTATAAAAAAGCCTAAACTGACCCAAACCAAGTTATCATCGAATAATTTGGCCAAGAATTAGAGTCATTCCTTATAATTTAATTTTAAAATAATTAAACAACTGTGGGTGTAAAATTGTATTGCTTTTTTTTAGTTCAAATTTGCCGCTAAAGAATGTAACGGACGTAATATAAAACAAGGGGAGGTCTTAACTGATATACAGATCTAGCAGACATGATGTTGTGTACACGAGGTAAGATCGAGCTACTGTTTGAAGTTAAATGTACATTTATTCAATCTGGAATTTCCCATGAATTCCAAGGACTGGAAATGAAGGGATTGTATGGATTCAGCTGGTTGTCAAGGGGGTGTGTTCCCATACCAAACCAGCTAGGTTATTAAGAAATTGAAATTGAAAATTGAGCACTTTAAAATATAATGCACTTAAGTTAAACTAATTATTTGACTTTTTTTCTGAAGATCAACTCACAATTTGCCAGCATGTTATTATTTTTGATATTGTTTTTCAAATGGACAGGTGCATTATACTGTTAAGGGTATGTATTTTATCCAATTCAGACCTTTTATCAAAATTATGCTGATAAATTGGTCAAGTGCTAATTTGAGTAAACTTTGAAATTTTTTGAAATGTATTTATTATTCAGAAGTTTATCAGGCATTGTCCTAACAACTAACCGTCCGGAGACCATCTGCCTAACTTTTTCACGATGAGAACATTTTTTTAAAAAAATTATTATGATGGCCAGAATACAATGATTAAACAGAAGAAATAACGAATGAGACCAAAACTCGTAAAATCTAAATTATTTTAGAATAGTTCTCCTCAAAATTAATAGCATTATTAGTATATATTATCATCATCATTATTATTCTTTGTAAAACAGAATCCATGACTTCATTTTAATAAGAAAACTTTGCGTTCGGATTGTTCTTAATGTACTCTGTTTTAAAAATGTGATTTTTCCTTTGTAAAAAAAAATATTAAAGAACATGGCACAGTATCAATACAAATCTTGCCCTGTATTTTTATAAGATTAAGAAAGAAATAATGTTAGAAATTCATATGCATCCTTTCTGAATTATTGAAACTATCAAATCGTTTTCCAATATGACCTCCTCAGTGCTAATTGTGATGTCATGAACCTGTGCATTTCCCGTATTTTCTTTTAAAGTTGCAGAAGACATGACTTTTCAGTAGAATTTTCATTTAGAGAATAAACGGTGCATGTATCGCCCACAAAAATTTTAAGTTTGTGAATTTTCAATGCATTATATACAATATACATGTACATATACCTAACATTTGAACTAGGCGACGGCAACAGACACTTAATATTTTCTAAAGGCAAATAAGCACAGAAATGAGTCTATTTGAATCTTTTCTGTGTAGAACTTAGAAATGTACTAAATCAAATACGTCTTTCTTTCCAGAGTGGTCCTCCTTCAGGTCATGTTCTTTTAATGATTTATCATATTCATCTACAAATGTACTACTTTTGTTGTTTTTTCTTTTTAGAAAGAATGGAATTCAGTGTTGCGCTGGTTATAAATGGAATGAAATCACAAAAGATTGCAGCACAAGTAAGTAAACTTTCTTTTTATTGATATGTAAAAATGCATAAAAATATGCATTTCCAATTTGATCTGAGATCAAATTAAAGCTTAGGTAAAAAGAGAGTTTAATTTGTAATCAACGTATTTGACTGATCTGCAGTGTCCTCTACGAGATCATTTAAGTTAAATCTGTAAAATACAATTATATTTGTTCATAAGTGCATTAATAAAAATAGAATTATAAGTGCATTAATAAAAATAGAATTATAATTTTTTTTAAATGTACACAGTGTTTCGTGACTTTAAACTTTAATTCATTTCCCAAAAATTTTCTGTAAAGGATCAATTATAAATACAAAACATTGAGGCTTGATGCAGAAATTTAAAGCAAAATATACGTGATTATAAAAAAAATGAAGTATTTTTAAGATAAAGTGACACAAAGTAAATTATATATACGTATGTATAAATATAAAATTGATTTTGCAGAATTTTAACAAAAAGTTTATATGTCGCATTGTCAAGTAGAAATTTGAAACAAAAGATATCGCAGTGACCTATACATCTGTTTCATATTTGGATAATAAATTACTTAATTGATGAAAACGTTTATGGTAATCAAAATAATTAATAACCAAGCTTTATGATAAACTTGACGAATTTAATTTCCCTGCAGATCTGTAGCTCTCCAAAAAAATTATTTGACAGACCGGAGAGCTACAGTGCCACCCATTGAAAAAACTGTATATTTATTGCGCACAAAAAAGTGCGCTAATATGATTATCGATTTATTTCTCTTTATCTTTCACTGTTTCCACAACAAAACATATCGTATAAGTGGAAATTTTAGCGAGACGCAAATTAAGCGATTTTCCTTAAAAACTGTTAATTTATTTATTGCGAGATGTTATTTTAGCGATTTTAAATGCACATTAAAGAAGCTATTACAAATAAAATGCAAATAATTTTTAGCGATATTCCATTTTAGCGATCTCGGCACCCTCGATAATAATGCCAAAATTGAATCCTCGCTTAAAATTCTACATATACGGTACCTTATAGTAACTGTTGTTGTTTATAACCCTCCTGGCCCTGTAATCGAGATCATCGAAAATTTCGTCTGTTTATACTGCCGTGTTTTTGGTTTGTAAAATAATTCGGCCCAACGCGCTTCGTGTCGATGTCAATACGAAATTACTTGATAGAAGAGTACGGAATGTTTTGAAATCTAAAGTTTTTGCAATTGATCTATGAGGTAAGAATTTGGAAGAATTAATCCATAAACACGCGTGTGACGGAAAAGGGCAAGGTGATCCGATTGATGAATAATTTGTAAAACGAGGGTCACGTCATTGACGGTAAGGCGATGAAACAAGAATATCAGCAGTCTCGTTTAAGTAACAGAGGCGTAGTCACAAACTTAAAAGTGGGTGGCCTCAACTCCAAAATTTCTTTGACAAGCAAAAAAAAAAGTTCCCCAAACTCGAAAATCCTTTTTCGTGGGGGGGGGGGGGGGGGGGGGGGGGTAATGGCCAACTTTTTCAAAGGCAAGTTACTTTCAATTCCAATTTTTTCCCACAATTCTTTGATATAACTATAGGGTCAAAAGGGGGGGGGGGGGGGGAGGGCAGCTATCCCTTCAATGAACATTCCCTATAGCAAAGGTATTGTTGGGGAAAAATAACTATGATTTTGTTCTTCATTAAAAAATGGGGGGGGGGGGCAGAGACATACTCTTGCCCCCCCCCCAGATCTGTAAGAGTGGGGGGGGGGGGGGCTAATGCCCCCGCCCCCCCCCCCCCCCGTGACTACGCCTATGAGTAAAATTAAATAATTTCTCGAAAAAAATGTTCAGCAAGCAGTTTTTCGTTAAGTTAAATGCTAACGTTTTTCATACTAATTGTTAGACCATAATTTACACACTGAATTCTGGACGGACTTTTTCATTATCTCCAAATCATGACAAGGAGAACACCGCTGATGTGACTAGTCGGCAAGGGATGCTAATCCTCCACGACATCTTATCCCAACTCTGATTTTTAGGAGTTCCGTGAACTACCAAGATAATTTTAATGAAAGGCTTTGCTGCAGCCCACGAATACTGAATGAAATATCTTTGGTTTGCAAGAGGTCCGGCGGCAATGTATTGAATTTCGAGGTGTACAGTTAAACCATTATTTTTTTTCCAGTAACAAAAATAGTCAAATACATGTACAACCTTAATTTCCTAAATGTAAATTCATTTAAAACCGTTTTTGCCATGTAATTCATGTTTCAGAGTGTGATCCTGGTTACTTCGGTATAAACTGTACCGGTCAATGTAGTCCTGGTCGATATGGAGAGGCCTGTGCCTTTCAGTGTGTCGAGTGTGAAAAGACTGAGTGTAATGTTTCATATGGATGCCCAGTGACCACAACAGGTAAATTGGAAATGTACAAGCTACGAATGATGTTTCCGTCCTAATGTTTACACTAAAAAAGAATCTTTTTTTCAACTTTTTAAGCTCACATTGACAAGATTGGGGGTATTTAGTGTCAAAAATTCAAAGAATATTATTATTATACATACATTTAAAAACCAATGTTGGAATTTATTTTCAAAATGGCGAACTTTGGAGAAGAGGGATATTTCACCATTTTTAAAAGCTAAATGTTATATTACTTTTGACAGAAAATATTCAAGGCCTTGAAAACGGAAGCTTGGCTCCTAAACCTGAAGAAAACCACGAAAAAGAAAAGAACGCAGTGAATATTTTGCAGATTGTCTCCCTTGCCTTCTCGGTTGGAACGTTTGTAGTTCTGGTCATGTTATTGGCTTACAAGCGTACCCACAGGAACGGGATCAAAGTGACTGCCAATCCTCGACCTGAAAATTATTCCAAGACACACTCAAACTACCAGACTCTTAATGATATGGCCGTTTACAGCGGAATGGCAAAGGTTCAGATAAATCTAAACACATCGGAAAAAACGTTCACCGTTTTCCTGAATACTGATTCGGAAGGAACAACCAACATAGAAGCATTGCGTCGGTTGGAGAACAAAGAATCCGAAAATGCATGCGCTTTGGATGCCTCTCTGAATGGAAATGCTAAAAATTATGAAACTCTTCAATAACTAACATTTCTCTAGGAGGACGAAATATTCTATGTACATTTTAATCAGCGATATGTATGTTTATGTAGAGATCATATCTAAATTATTTAAAATTTTACTTCAATCTATTTCAATCTTTCATGTTTTCAAAGGCACATATTTTATTTGTTACAAAGACATTGTAAGACCTAAGAATTAAGAATACAAACTTTTCAAGGAGAGAGAGAGAGAGGGAGAGAGAGACTAAAACATTTTATTTGATTATTGTCAAACTTTGGTAAAAGAATACTGGTACCAGTAAAGTTTTTCATGACAAAGTATCCTAACCCGATATGCTTTATTCCAGTTGTCAGAGACACAAGAATTTAAATAAAACAAACAATGACAAACACAACTTCAAAAAATTCAAATACAAATGTTCTGGTAACTTTGAAAAGTCATGATTTGGAAAAAAAAACTTGAATCTACACTGAGAATGTTTCCAATATAAATATGACCAACCATGACTTTGTTGTGTTTGAGAAGATGATATTTAAAGTTTTCCTACGTACTCCTACGTAAAACTTTGATTGTTAATTGTGGTCCCATCCTACCCCGGGGATGAGTCATGACTTGAACAAACTTAAATCTACATTACCTGAGAATGCTTCCACATAAGTTTGATATTTTCTAACACAGTAGTTTTTAATTGAGAAAAACATTATCAAAAGATGTAATAAAATATTTTTTTTCACAAAATCATAATCATCTCCCCATGAAAAAGGCGTGGCCCTTCATTTTAACAAACTTGAATCCCCTTTATCCAAGCATACTTTGTGGTAAGTTTGGTTGATATAGGTTTTTGAGAAGAAGATGAAAATGTGTAAAGTTTTACAAGACGACACGCCAGCTGACAACGAACATATTTTTAATCAGAACCATCGACTCTTGTAAGCTATAAAAAAATTAAATAATAACCTATGTTTATTTAATACGGCGCCGCTGGAGGGCCAGGCAAAAAAATATTCTTATTTGTTCGGACAAATTAGAAATTCGTTCGGACGAATTAGATATTCGTTCGGACAAATTAGAAATTCGTTCGGACGAATTAGTTATTTGTTCGGACGAATTAGAAATTCGTTCGGACGAATTAGAAATTTGTTCGGACGAATTAGTTATTTGTTCGGACAAATTAGAAATTTGTTCGGACAAATAAGTTATTTGTTCGGACAAATTAGATATTTGTTCGGACAAATTAGAAATTCGTTCGGACGAATTAGTTATTTGTTCGGACAAATTAGAAATTCGTTCGGACAAATAAGTTATTTGTTCGGACAAATTAGATATTTGTTCGGACAAATTAGAAATTCGTTCGGACGAATTAGTTATTTGTTCGGACGAATTAGTTATTTGTTCGGACAGATTAAATATTTGTTCGGACAAATTAGATGTTTGCACAAATTATCGTGTAAAGAGAGATATACAATTTGTCCATCCCTTTTTAATACATAAATAGCTCTTTGGACCATGGCATACACACGTTGCAACTAGACATGTGCTATTAAAGTCGAGTATGTTGATTGTAAATATTCTGAAATAATGGCTCTATACCGGTTTATATTATAGGCCTAAAGTCTGCCATTCTGTAAGTATATTATCTGAGAGCCCACTAGTAAATTCAAAGGGTCAGTTACTTCTTATCAAACATCTTTTCACTCCCATCCCTGACACACTTATAAGATTTGTCATAAATAAACATCATCTGGTTCTACCAGACCAACTTTTGCTGGTGGTGTTAAATTCGTAACACAGGGGTGACAGTGGTCAATTACCGCTTCTTTGAAAAGATGAGATCCACTCCTTAAGGTTTTATTCATACCGCATGCAATTGGTACGGGAAAAAATTGGCATTGAAGAAGTAAGCCCCCCCCCCCCACCACGAAATAGGACTGTCAACTTTAGGCAACTTTTCCCGTGTCCCCCCCCCCTTTTTTTGCTAGTCAACTTTTCAGGTAAGTATTTTTTTTTTCAGCCTCCCCCCCCACTGCTACGTGGCTGTATTGTATTATATTAAATAAACTTCCGACTCAAAATATGAAGCCTCTCATTCGATGGGTCTTAATTTTTTAAGGTGGGGCTTACTAGCTAGAACATTTGTGGTTTGGCTTCTATACCGCTGTTCCCACATTTAAGTATTTTGAGATAAAGGAACAAAAAGAGGGAATCTCATAAGTCCATCTCCAATGGATTCTTTCGAAGATCGTTAAAAACTATCATTAAGTATCTATATAAATTTTATTTTATATTTAAGTATCAGAAAAGCGCATGAATTAAAACATGCAGGTATAATATTGACCAAATTAAACACACGCCCCTTTCCGGGAAAAGGATAAAAAAAATTTATGAATACATTTACGTTCCTAGAAAGTGTAGTAAAAATTAAAAACACATCATAATTTAATGCAAGTTAAGCTTCTCAATGATTAAGACAATTGATCGTTTTTAAATAGAGGAGGGGGGGGGGGTGTTACTTGAAAATATTTTGACATTCATTCATTCATGATTTATTTTCCCCATAAAAGGGGTTGGTTTCATAATTCCTCTTTCTATTGAGTCATTGGCCTATCAAATCTTCGAACTGGTATTCAACTGTAAAAGCGTATAAACAAATTAAGAAATGCTGAAAGTGAGATTAAATAGTTTGTTCGACTACATGTACCTCTCCAATAAGGGGAGGGGGCTATAATTATGCTCTGTAAATCAATGGACACGGGCTCGCGAGTCATAGGAACAACCTGAGATCAATACGAACAGGTTCATTTTTGTGAAGTTTTCTTAATTCACAAACAGGAATACTTAATTAAAAACTCAATGAGGACCTTTTTTCATTTTATACACCGCATATGTACCAGATTGATTGATTGAATGTTTTACGCCGAATTGGCAATATTTCAGCCACATATCGGCGATATATGTATCAGAAATGTATTTCAAAAATCATTTACATGTCATGATTACTAAATTGCAGGGTAGTGAATATGTACATAAAATTATAAGAAAGAGATCAAAATTAAAACGACTTATCTTCAAAATATTTATTGATAATGTTGTTCATTAAAGTTGTTTTGCAAAGAATCAAAATAAAATGAACCTTGATCTTGGTGCAAATCGCACATTTATCGCGGTGTCCTGACAGTTGTTCACATTTTCTCTAATTTGTCCGAACAAATAACTAATTCGTTCGAACGAATTTCTAATTCGTCCGAACAAATAACTAATTCGTCCGTCCGAATTTTTAATTTGTCCGAACAAATATCTAATTTGTCCGAACAAATAACTTATTTGTCCGAACGAATTTCTAATTTGTCCGAACGAATTTCTAATTTGTCCGAACAAATAACTTATTTGTCCGAACGAATATTTAATTTGTCCGAACAAATAACTAATTCGTCCGTACGAATTTCTAATTTGTCCGAACAAATAACTTATTTGTCCGAACGAATATCTAATTCGTCCGAACGAATTTCTAATTTGTCCGAACGAATATCTAATTCGTCCGAACAAATAACTAATTCGTCCGAACGAATTTCTAATTTGTCCGAACAAATAAAAATATTTTTTTTACCTGGCCCTTCAGCGGCGCCGTAATTTAACACAAAAACCAATCAAAAATACATGAATTCCTAGTCTATCATACCTATAGTTCAAAACCCGATATCCTTTTCACTTTCGTAAAGATTAAGAAATTGGATGCACATGTACCAAATAAAGCCAATCTTTGAAAAGCCATACCTTCTTTTCAAATTTTCGTTAAATCTGTCACAGAGCACCACTAGACCAAGGAATCTCTTTCTGATAAAACTAAGGAGATGTGAGAATTTTTGTGGTAATAAATAACAAGAGGTCCAGGGGCCACAGCGCTCACCTGAGCACATCGGCTAAGAAAAAGCACATATTGGATCAGAACTGAAAGTTTACTGAGGTTGAAGGGGGGGGGGGGGGGGCTTGAATTTTAACCCCTCAGGGGATCATGATTTGAATGAACTAGCTGGGAATGATTCCATATAATATTACTAATTATGGCTTTGAAGTACTTGCAAAGAAGATTTTAAAAAGTTTCCATATATATTCCTATGTAAAACTTTGGTCGGCCATTTTGGTCCCACCCTAGTCCCAGGGGTCATGATTTGAATGAACTTGTTTCTACACTACCTGAGGATGATTCTATATGAGTTTCGTCTTTCCTGGCCCAGTTGCTCTTGAGAAGATTTTTCAAGATTTTTCCTATATACTTATATGTAAAACTTTGATCAGCCATTTTGGCCCCACCCTACCCCCTGGGGGTCATGAATTGAACAAACTTGAATCTACACTACCTGAGGATGATTCCACATGAGTTTCATTTTTCCTGGCCCAGTGGTTCTTGAGAAGAAGATTTTTCAAGAATTTTCCTATATACTCCTATGTAAAACTTTGATCAGCTATTTTGTGCCCCACCCTGGCCCAGTGGTTCTTGAGAAGAAGATTTTTTAAAAATGCCATTAATTTTTCTCTAATTCATAATTATCTCCCCTTGGAAAAGGGCGTGGCCCTTCATTTGAAAAAACTTGAATCCCCTTTCTCCAAGGATACTTTGAAGCAAGTTTGGTTGAAATTGGCCCAGTGGTTTTGGAGAAGAAGATGAAAATGTGAAAAGTTTACAACGACGGCGACGACAACCACGACGACGACAGAAAACGGACAAATTTTGATCAGAAAAGCTCACTTGAGCCTTTGGCTCAAATGAGCTAAAAATAATAGAGCTCACCTCAATGAATGTTGTCTTTAAGTTAGGAAAAGTCCCATATTAAGTTAATACATGTAATTTAGTAATGTACATCCTAAGATGCAACATACTCGGACATGTAAATGCAATTTTGATAATAAGTCTTGCAGATACTTAAAAATGGGCATCCGAAAACTTCCAACCAGTCACTCATCTAGAAAACATATTTAAAACCTAGCATCTGAGGCAAGTTTGAGTGTGTTCATCGCTTGATGCATCTTGCAAATTTGGCTCAGATATGCTTTATAGTTTCTTAGTAATAAACCTAATAGACCTGCACCAAAATTTAAACCTGGTCCATATTCTGGAAAATGAATCCCAGATCCAGCATTTGAAGCAGATTTCAGTGTTTATCCTTACATGTATCATCAATGTAAGTTTGTTCAACATAGGGCTTAAAATTACTTAGAAATGAGACCCCTCCAAACACTTTGACCAGTTCACTAAAATGTAGATAGATCCCAGCATCCTAAGCAGGTTCATAAGTGAGCATCCATAAAATCTTCCTTTTACTCAACATAGGGGAGTTTACTCAACATAGGACTTATCATATAATAATTTTAGTTTGAGATCTGCACCAAAACCTTTATCCTGTTCACTCATCCGTAAAATGTAGGTCGGATCCAGCATCCTTGGATGTACCATTCATGGAAGTTCATGGAGTTTGGTTTAAAAAGACCAAATAAGTTTTTGGAAACGACATCTGACCAAAACCTTAAGCCTGCTCAAAAAACATTAATCTGGTCATCTCTTTGCTGAAAATGCAGCATCCGAAACCTTGGCTCGTGAATGAAGCATAATATAAGCATCTTTTATGCATTTCTGACTAATGTCGAATGTGCTTAAAAAGAAAACTGCTCCAAAAACCTTAACATAAGACATACGCTCCAATTTTCCAAAATCTAATGGACATACTTCTGACAAAAATGGCGAGACCGTACCCAAAACAGTACTTGACTTAGATATTTTTCTTATATATCTGTATACCAAATTTCCTTTCATTATGTGCAACGGTTGCAAAGAAAATGAACGGAAACTGCAACTAATTGAAAGGAGAGGTTTCGATAAGACTATTCTACGGCCCATGGTTTTAGCAAATAATAAAATGGGACTCTCTTATTTTAAAGTTGGATTCAGGATCTCCAACATTTCATCCTTTACACATATGTTTAGGACATTTTTATCTTTTTTCTTGAGTTTTAAAGAAACCAACAAATTATCAAGACTTGTTCCATGAAAAATTAAATAAAATCATGGTAATAAACAGATCTATCCACATCAGATATATGCACATGCCAACCACGTGCTTATTAGTGGAATAATATTAACCAGGAAACTCGCGCTGTAAACAGAACAGTTTTTCCCGATTTGCTGAAGTTGGGTTAAAATCGCGTTTTTTCATTAATCAGACGATGCGATGCAACAAATAAAAGTAGTAATTAATATAACCTAATGATTATTACTTAGTAATTTCTTGTCTTGATCTTATTATGGTCGCATAAATTCTAAAATCAATGTTATTCGAACTCTGTGTGACAGAGGAATGGCAGACGAAATAAACACATGGCCTCAGAAAGACACCCATATGAAAAATCAAATTTTCAAGAATTATGGATAATGACAAGAAAAAAGCGAAACAAATGGTTGTAGCCATATTATCAATGAATCAAACTAACACCATTTTCAATGCATTTATCATCTCGTGAATGCTGTAGCTGCGTGCAGTTCTAACATCGTTAATTTCCTCCTAATTAAAAGAAAATTAACTTAATTGTTTACAAATTTTGGTCTCTAACAGTAGGTAATTAGTGCATTAGCACTTTGAGTAACTTTGGGCTAGTTTAGTAGAGTATTATGCGCATTCTTGGTATTTCTTAGTTTACACCAGACTAGATCCAATATGGCTTGTACATCCCCCTTAAGGGGGATGTACAAGCCATATTGGATCTAGTCTTACACCATTCAAAAGTTATGTCCAAGGTTAAAGTTTTTAAAGTAGTAGGTCAAACTCCAAGGTCAAGGTCAGAGGGTCAAAGTTCTTTATATCCAATGAAAGGTCTTGTCACAAGGACGAAATACATGAAGCATGAAAACCCTATCCCTAACCCTTCAAAATTTATGGTCAAGGTTTGTTTTTTAAAAGTAGGTCAAACTCCAAGGTCAAGAGGTCAAATTTCTTGGTATCGAATAAAAGGTCTTTTCACAAGAATAACATATGTGAAGTTTGAAATCCTCAGCCCTTACCGTTCAAATGTAATGGCCAAGGTTAAAAATTTATCATAAATACGGAAATCTCCACGGTCAAAGTTGTCGGTATCCAATAAAAGGTCTTTCCACAAAGAATACATATGTTAAATATGAAAGTCCCAGTATCTACCATTCAAAAGTTATGGCCAAAGTAAAAATAAATGTTGAAATGTGGGGGTCAAACTCCAAGGTCAAGGTCAAATTTGCTGGTACCCAAAAGAAAGGTCTTGTTACAAGGAATAAACATGTGAAATATGAAAGTCATAGCTCCACTAAATCAAAAGTTATGGGCAAGGTTAATGTTTTTGTGACGGATGGACAGACAGACAGCTAGACAGAATAACAGAGAGACGAATTAGATTTAATGTCCCCTTGCTTTAGCGGGGGACAAAAAAAATAACTTGCATTGGATGAAATATACGACTTGGAAAAAAATCATCAAGCTTCTGTAAACAGTACGCTACAGAGAATGTCTCGTGATTGCCAGGACCAACACATTTGCGCATGGGCAGGACAGTGGTAGAGGTGCATTACTGGTAAACCAGAGGAGACTATTAAAACAAATAATAATAATAATTGAAGCCAAATTTTCTCTCTTGGAAGTAATTCAATTAGTTTGCAAGAGTTTTGATAATCCCTCCTATATGCATGTAAATTAACATGAACTTCATAAATGAAAGAAAAACAAGCACTGAAAGAAAAAAATTATTTTTAATATTTATTCCATATTAATATAAGACTGCCGGAAAAGAAAAAAGCCACTACCATCAGACATTTATAAAATCATAAAATAAAAATTTAAGCAAAAGCAACAAGTTAAATTGCTGCAAAGCATCTAATTATCCACAAAAATATCATTTTAGAATTTTTAAAATAATTCTCCCAAATAAGAATCCAAAGTAAAATTTTAAAATAAAACTAGAAATATGTCCATAGGACATGAATGCCCCGCCGAGGATGTATTAATAAAGCAACATGAAAATTTGTATGTGTATAAAATTTGATCAGAATATCTTGAATAGTGATGCAGCTGAATTGCTTGTTTGGAAAATATAAGTCAGATCCATCATCCGAAGCAAATCTGGTAGTGTCCATCCCTAGATGCATCATCCATGAAAGTTTGGTTCAGGTAGGACTTATAGTTACTTGGGAATGAAAATATAGGTCAGATCCAGCATCCGAAGCAAGTCTGGTAGTGTCCATCCCTAGATGCATCATCCATGCAAGTTTGGTTCAGGCAGGGCTTATGGTTACTTGGGAATGAAAATATAGGTCAGATCCAGCATCCGAATTAAGTCCTGTAGTGTCCATCCCTAGTTTGCATCAACCATGCAAGTTTGGTTCAGGCAGGAGTTATAGTTACTTGGGAATGAATATATAGGTCAGATCCAGCATCCGAAGCAAGTCTGGTGGTGTCCATCCCTAGATGCATCATCCATGCAAGTTTGGTTCAGGTAGGGCTTATAGTTTCTTGGGAATGAAAATGTAGGTCAGATCCAGCATCCGAAGCAAATCTGGTAGTGTCCATCCTTATATGCATCATCCATGCAAGTTTAATCCAAGTAGGGCTTATAATTCCTTAGAAATGGACCTGCTCCAAAAACTCATCTGGAAAATATAGGTCAGATCCAGCATCCGAAGCAAGTCTGGTAGTGTTCATCCCGAGATGCATCATCCATGCAAGTTTGTATCAACATGTGAAGTTTGATAAATCCATCTTGAATGGTATGTTTAAAACTGAGCAAAACACTAATGTAACAAAAGTGAGGTCAAGGTCAAAGGAAAGGTCAAGGTCAAAAAATGTTGATGCAGTTGCATAGCTCTCATCAATATCTATCAGCATATGAAGTTTGATGAAAATATCTTGGATGGTTTCTTTGAAACTTAGCTTTGAGCAGAGCTAAACGCAAAGTGTGACGGAAGGACAGAAAGATGGAAAGACGGAAGACGGACATGACAAACATATATATGCCCCGGCCATATTCATGGTGGGGCATAAAAATACAGGTACCAGGCATGATACATTTTTTTAATTTTAATTTTAGATATGATCAAACAGAGTTTACTTATTTAATTCAAAGATTTAAAAATAGGATGATAAAATCACAAAACTGACATATAAACACATTTCAAAAATGACTTGTCATGAATGTCTAAATGTTACAAATAGGACATACAAATTCTATGTGCTGATATCATTGGATCAGCAGATATTTTATCAAATTATACAATTATATGAATTACAGAAAAAATATTGTCATGACATTTGCAACTGTAATTAATGTATTAAAAAACAATTCACTTCTTAAAAACTATTCAAGCTTCCAATTTATTATTTTAAACCCTGTAATTCATATACAGGAACTAAATACGTTTTGAGTCTATAGCGTATGCACACCCATCTTTGGAAGTAATTCATGCAACAATGTCTTATAAAATCACAATTCAATGAATATATCTGATGAGAAATAAAAAACAAATTGAAAACTAATACCACCATTAATACAAAGTGTATAGCAAATTTTTAAAACTTGTATTAATGACTTTAAATTTATGTTTGTTAATAACAAAAAATTATTTTATAGAGGCAATGAAAAAATCCTAAAACACTTTACATAACATGTACATCGTGCAATTTTGATAGCTTTTTAGTCAAAGCAATGAATGTACACTCTAAGGAGTACAATATTCGACAATTCCGAGGTTCAATATATTTGTTGCTTTAAGATTGATCTACCCTAATCCTAGTATCCTCTCCATTCGCTGTAGAACCATTTGATCCATTCTGTAATGGTTCTGTCATTCTAGTTTCTTCTTCTCTATCTGGTGTAGGCTGTGAAATAAAGGAGAAAAATATGTCACTATTACTTGTAAGGCATATCATCACACTGAGATAATTGTTCACTTCTACCTTTAAGTTAAAATAATAGACTGCAATCATTGCATAAATATCTAGAAAATTCTGGCAAGTTCTGTATTTTATTGTTAGCGGACAATATAGCAATCATTTCTCAGATGAAAAGAACTTTATTTGCTGGGGGTATAAAATCCACATTAAAAATGTTAGCATATGATTACAAATATCCAGGAAGTGCTAATTCAAGTTCATTTAAATTGCAATCCTGGGGCACATTTTCAAAAGGACATATGACCATGCAAAATTTGAAAGCTAACTTTATTTGTTTATTGTGAAACATTGCAAAATTTTTCTTTTTCTTTTCTTGATAATATCTTTATTAATTTGTATCAAAAGAATTAAAAGAATTCTTAAATTTAATTTAATCTAAAAGAGGAAACTATTTGCAGGGTAAATTTTGGTCTAAGTCACAACATAAGTCCCTTGCAAAATGAGAACTTGGGTATTTAAGGTTGAGGCCACAATAATTATTGAAGATTAAAATTTTACATGAAACAAGAGGCCCAAGGGCTTTTATGGTCACCTGGGTATCATACAATGATTTACAGGATCTATTATCAGTATAAAATAAACTGATACATGAAGCTTTATTGTAGAGAAACAGATGTTTACTAAGAGACTGTATTATTTCTTCCAGTGATTCTCAGTAATGTTTCAAAGTTTACAGATGTTGCCAAACAGATGATCAAATACATGACATTGTAATGATTACAATTCTTCATCTGTGTGACTCTGGGACTTTAAAGTAACTTACTGGGTTTCTATACACCTGTCTCTTCTTCCAAATGCAGATCCCGACTAAAGAAGAAGCTCCAATTACTGCCAACAGACTTATGACTATTCCAACAATACCTCTGTAAAGAGAGTAAAGAAGATCTTTAAGTTAACCCTAAAGGCTCAAGAGCCTGAACAGTCACCCTGCAAGGGGTCCATGGACTGGCAACCTTAGTATTTATATTTTAAACCAAGACTAATTGATAAATGTTTTATGTAAAAAAAAAATAGAGGAAGGGGACATTTAGAGATTCATGCAATTATAAAGTAAGTCTGTAACTCAGTAAAAAAAAAAACACTGGTAGAAAGTCAGTCCATTGTCTGTATATATGTCAGTGCTAATTACACTCTACCAAAACATTAACAGTAGTATTTGTGTATTGAAAACCAGCACATTCTAACAACACAGGTATCTCTTGTTCTTTGAATGACATTTGTTTAATTATAAGCTTAGATATTTTTTTTATCTCATTTTCATTTTTTTTAATTACACATCTATCTTAAATTTATCATTAAAAACTATTAAATTACTTTTGAATATGAAAGGGGAATGCTTTTTCTTACACTAGCGAGGGAGCATTGGGTACATGTAATCCGAGATAAGATTACAGAGCTCACCTCAAAGAATTTTGTCGGAGTCCTTAAATAAGACAAAGTCCCACAATTAACCATAATTCTAAAACTGTACATCCCAAAATGCAAAATTTATCCAATTTTGATCTGACAGGGCTTGCAGTAACTTGGAATTAGACCTAACCAAAAACTTCAAACTAGTAGTCCATAAAGACAACATAATTAAAATCAAGCATATGAAGCAACTTTGACATTGCTCATCCCTTCATGCACGGTTTATGCAAGTTTGGTTAATATAGGCCTTATAGTTTCTTGGTTTCTTAGTTTCTTAGGCCTGCACCAATAACTTTTACCTGGTCCATAATCTGAATGTATGTCGGATTCAGCATCTGAAGCAAGTCCATTAGACTGTGTGCATCCTTGGATGCATCATCCATGCAAGTTTGCTCAAACATTGGGCATATACTTGCTTTAGAGTTAACCTGCTCAATCTGCTAATCTTTTACATATTCATTCATTAATAAAATGTAGGTCAGATTCAGCATCTTCCATTCACTAAGTGTGCATCTTTAGATGTATCATCCATGCAAGTTTATTCAGCATATGGCTTATGAGTTAGTTGGAAATGAGACCTGCATAAAAAAACTAACTTTTTCACTCATGCACTATGCAGAAAATGTAGATTAGATTTAGCATCCTAAGCAAGTCTGGTAGTGTACATCCTTAGATGTGTCTTCCATGCAAGTTTGGTCAATGTAGGGCTTATATAGTTACTTGGAAATGAGACCTACACCAAAAACTGCACCAAAAATGTTAACCTGCTCCAAAAACATAAAGTTTACCTGGTCATTTCTTTGCTGAAATTTCAGCATCTAAAACTTTATCTGCTACATTCATAATTAAGGTTTGTCACTCGTCAGCTTTTTAGAAAAATTCACGCAGAACTTCTTACTTCAAAACTATTTATAAAAACTCAATTTTTATAACATATTATTTAATTTCAACAATGTAAATGTTTTAACATTCAACGAAAAAAATTAACTGCTCAAAAAGATACAAAGCAGCAAAATTTATGAGGGACTATTTCTTGTGGTGGATGGATATTTAACAGATAATTCTACAAATCTGCAGATTTATTAAATTTAATATTCTGGAACTTTAACCTCACATACTTTTACTCAGAGAATATTTTCCGTTATGATATTGTTAGGAATATTTAATATAGGTCTTAATTTATATTTTTAGAATATGTTTTACACCTTCTTTCAACAAACTTTGCCAAAAATTGAAGATATGTCAAATAAGTCAAGATAAAATTTACACCATTTTTTCGCCTGAAAATCACATATTTTGACCAATGTTTCAAAATTAACATCACTGACCCCGACTTTTTCTTTTATTATTTTAAAGTACTCAATACTTGTGATTGATCAGCACTTAAGTCGTAAAAAGCTTGATTGAAGATAATATTTTATTGCCTATTTAGTTTTTTAATACCCCAAATATGTTACTTTTTAGTGCAAAAAAGGTATCACAATAATTTACGCGCATTAATTTGCAAGATATGTTCAATGATAAATATTATTCAAAATATGAAAAATAAAGTAAAATCATATGTATTGCTATGGTTACATCTGATAAAATATGATAAAGGTTAATGTAATTTACTGAAGATTTAAAATTGAAGTGCAAAAAGGTCAACTTTATTGTACTGTAGATCAGTAAGATGAACACTGACCCCCTATTTTCTCTGCAATTTTGAGTCACTTTATATAAGTACTTATCCAAAATATACTTCTCAAAAAATCCTTGATTTAACAAATTTCACGAGTGACATACCTTAAGAAATAAATGTCTTATTTTTTCATTTCATGATGTGATCAATCAATTTGGCTTGCGTGATAATTTGCATAAACGCCGAAGGCGTCTATGCATAAAAATATCACGCAAGCCAATCGATTGATCAATGTCATTAAATTGAAAAATAAGACAGTTATTCCTTATATTTACGTGCTCTTGATTCCGTCAATCCACGTGCTATGATTAAGCCCTGCTTATGCTAGCCATTTGTCCCGCCCTGCTTGAGTTTTTTTAACCGTGCCTATTGATGAACCAGTACATTGATGGGAAATAAAGTACATTTACTATTTGTAATTTTATCTAGGACAAAGACATTGGAAATGTAAATATTGAAACATACATGTACTAGTATTCTGTGATTTCTCTGACTCTAACCCCAGCTTTTATATGATGACTTAATTGTGTTTCTTCTTCTTGCACAAGTCATATTTACTTTTGATGCTTTTCCCCCTCACAAGTCATGGTATAGAAGCGGGGGTTAGAGTCAGAGGAATCTGGGATCAATTTACTAAATGCATCTTCCATGCATGTCTGATGAATATAAGGCATATAGAACAACTTAAAATGAAAACTGCTTCAAAAGCCTTAACCTGGGATGCAGAGGGTAATATATGTTAATGATACAATCAAATCCTAGTTAGACTCAGATATCCCTGATCCAAGGGACTTAAATGTCGCAATTTTGGAAGAAGCACCTAAATTCATCATAACTATGCATTTAATTTGTTTGCTTAATGCAGAAAAGCAAAAAACAATCAAAGAATTCATGCATATTCACTATATGCTCTATAAAGCCTAGGACCCTTGATCCCAAATTTTACAATTTACGAATGTTTGACTGTTTGATATCTAGGCTTAAGTCAAGATGACAATTTCCAAAGATATAGCATTATTTAAATTTTTTTTTTAGTTTTAGCCCCATTCCCTAAGCCTCATGGGGAGGGCAGGGAAGATAATAATTATTGTTCCACTTCACCCATAAATAAAATAGGCCAAAACTTCAGGTTCATGGGTTCTAGAATTGTTCAAACTTAAGTTTGAAGCACGATGAACGACAAACAATGAATAATGACACAGTTAAATTCCATACTGCCACAGTTAAATCAAAGTATTGAAAGAACTGAAAGCCCGGCTTTAGGTGCTAGAGTATACTGTCTGATCTGAAATTAATACATTTTTTTTTTTCCCTTTTGGCCATTGATTTTTAACAGGTAGAGTTTGTATGATTAAAATTGATTTAAAACAATATCCCATATACCAACAGTCCAGACCCCAAGATATGTTATGATTTTAAAATTTAATAAATAATATTTCCAAGAAATTCTCATATTTATATTTTTTACTCATTAAGCATTTTTTTCCTCATAATTTAAAAATTCAGTCTTGGAATAGTTGAAATAATGTACATGTGTATTATATAGTCTCTTCTAGTCTCAAACAAACAGTACTTTTATCGCCAACAGTTACTACATGTAGAACACTGATACATGTACATGTACATTGTCAAGCTACTTCACGCATGTTAATTCTTAAAATTCCAATTCACTTTACTATTAGTTTGCTAAAAATCAAAACAAAATATAACCACTAACATAACATAAAAAAAAGGAAAAAAAAAACGAAATGAAACATGAAACTCTTCAATAATTTCAATATAAATTTATAACCCAAACAAACCAACCTCCAAATTATGTATTGTTTTTTTAGTTTCTAAAAGTAAAAAAACTTTAATTTACTCAAATCATGCTAATACTTGAAATTGTGATTACTTACTTAGCAGAATTCTTTCGCGATGGAGGTAGGAAACGTCTATTGGATGGGGGGTAATTTGCTATTGAATACAATGCAAGATCGATCATTGTAGAATTTTTAAGGACAGATTAGTAAAAAATCTTGCTAAACAATCGCTGAACCAGCCTGATCAATTTTTGAGAGGAGCTAATCCTTAAATGTCCCATATTTAACAATATTTTTTAACTAAGCTGACTCTTCTAATGAAATATTCATTGAAAATCATCACAATTTAAAGCTGATTAAACATTCTAATCCTTTTTTTATTTGACAATCTACTTTTTGAAGTTCAATTCTTGGCAATGCATTGTACTTTCAGCAAAAAATTGTTTGAATTATTAGGCATTCCATATGTTGATTTTTATAGTCCTGTCCACTAAGTCAGACACAAAGACAGCCATAGGGATTTACACATGCTTATCAGGCGCCTGACCTTTCACTTAGCAAAATTTGCATTGAGTTGTAAATATCAAGAAATCAACACACTTAGGCCTAACTCTAAACTTTCAAAGAGTTATCACAGAGAAAACAGTCAGAAATGTAACAACTGCTTGATAACCACAATGAAGTATAGATAAGTTGAGTAACATGTTCAAGTCGAGATCTATGTATAACACACCTTCCTGGATTCTATGCCTTTCTGATATTTAGGATAAGCATGTACTGAATTTTTTTTATTACCCAGTTGACAGTGCTTGCATGTTCTTTGTTGTCGGTGCCCCTGTCCTCTCTGTTGTCGGTGCCCCTGTCCTCTCTGTTGTCGGTGCCCCTGTCCTCTCTGTTGTCGGTGCCACTGTACTCTCTGTTGTCTGTGCCACTGTACTCCTGGGATAATACTTTTGAGAACTGTTGTAGCATTCCTCAACTGCAAAAAAAATAAATAAAAAGTCTATCTACAATTGATCATTTGTTTGTTACAAACATGCTTTAAAAGTGTCAGGGACCTACAATTTTTACCTGTTGATTGTTCAATACTGAAAGCCGTTTTATTTCCACAGTGTTAAAATTTCACGATATCTTAAAAGGTACCAATTGTGATGGCTTTGATTTCACGCTGCATTTAATTAATTAAAAATTTATGCTAAGCATTTAAACTTTTTTAAAAACGCATAATAGCATTCGCGATGGGTTTAATTTTGCGAGAAAATTAAACATAGGTAATCAGAGATTACAGAGCTCACCTCAACGAATGTTGTCTTTAAGTAAGGCAAAGTCACACAATTAACCAACAAAAAGTGTACATCCAAAAATGCAAAATTTATGCAATTTTGATTTTATACTTTGGAATAGACCTATATATAAACTTCAAACTAGTTCTCCATCATGAAAACGTAATTAAAATCCAGCATCTGAAGCAAGGTTGAGAGTTTTCATCTCTTGATGCATCATTTGTGCAAGTTTGGCTTATATAAGCTTTATAGTTTCTTGGTAATAGACCTGCATCCATAACTTTTACGAGGTGTCCATTATCTGGAAAATGTATGTCAAATTCAGCATCTGAAGCAAGTCCATTAGTGTGCATCCTAAGATGTACCATCCATGCAAGTTTGGTCATTATAGGGCTCATAGTAACTTGGAAATGAAACCTGCACCCAAACCTTTAACCTGTTCACTCAACCAGAAAATGTAGGTCAGATTCAGCATCCGAAGCAAGTCTGGTAGTGTGCATCCTAAGATGTATCATCCATGCATGTTTGGTCACTATAGTGCTCATAGTTACTTGGAAATGAGACCTGCACCAAAAACATAAACCTGTTCACTCATGCGGAAAATGTAGGTAAGATTCAGCATCCGAAGCAAGCCTGGTAGTGTGCATCCTAATATGTACCATCCATGCAAGTTTGGTCAACATAGGGCTTATAGTTACTCGGAAATGAGACCTACACCAAAAACTGCACCAAAAATGTTAACCTGCTCCAAAAACATTAACCTGGTTATTCCTTTGCTGAAATTGCAGCATCTGAAACTTTGACTGGTACAATGAAACACACTAGAAACATCTTCCATGCATGTCTAATCAATATAGGACATAGAAGTACTTAAAAAGAAAACAGCTCCAAAAAACTTAACCTTAACCCGGGACGCCGACGCCGACGAGGACGCCGACGCCGAGGGTATTACATAAGCTCCCCCAACTTCGTTGAGGTGAGCTAAAAATCACGAACATAGCAAAATTAAAGCCAGCATGATTATTTGCCAACCTACAGTATATTTTGAAGTCAAGGGACTGCTGTATACATAAATTCCTAATTATTAATGAGGAATTATCGCGTAATTTCGCTAGAAACATTACTCATGAAATTCAGTTACTTGCTTTTATCATTATTTTCTTGATCATTCATTGGTGAAAAATTATTATCATGATTTGACTTTGAAGAGCTCTTTCGCAATTGTCATAATAAGTACAGTACCTGAATCATTATTCTTTCAAGTGTCTATAGTAGTGTCCTAGTATTGTGCATGTATCTTATTGTATCGTGCAAGTATCCTATTAATCTTGCCTGTATCCTATTAATCTTTCCTGTATCCTATTGTATTGTGTTTTCAGTTTACAGAGCTGCTAACATTCTGAAATGACAAATAGTAAGGCGGGGTCTAGGGACCACCTAGGCCCCCTGCCGCTGAAGATATTTTGTAAATGGACATGCAATCTGAGGCATGTTTCTATTTTTTTATTTTAAAACATTGACTTGATTGTAACCAGCCTTTAAATCCGAAACGAAGATACAAACAAGCGTTGTAAGAATTTAATTACTGAGTATATTATAATACACTGTAGTTGAAATTATAGACTGCCAGCTATGGAAATACCGGTATTATAAACTTTGAAGGAGAAAAACTGATATCGGAAGAAAATAGATAGAAATCGTAAGGCGTATTTTAGACGCTGATTCCGTATGCCTTACGCCAAAATCGTAAGGGTTGGCAGCTCTGAGTTTATCAGGTTTTGCATTTTCTTTCGTGTTTTCTGTTTATCTTGTTTTGCGTTTATTGTGTAGATCGTTCATCAGGTTTTATCGTGTATCATGTTTTGCGTTCATCCTGTATATTCAGAAACCCTCACTTTTTATCTTTACTGTGGAAGGTGGATGTAGAATTTTTTAAAAAGGCGTGACATATTTTTTAAAATGTTTTTTAAAGTGCAGAATTTTTGCCAAAAAAAAATACAGACAACATGGACAAATCAAACAATTTTATGTCACAAATCTTTGATAACAGGTGCATAAATTTTGTATACACTATATACTGTAAATGTATTATATTTAGTGTGTACGATATTTGGCGGAAATTGATTTTTGAACAAGTTAGCGTAGATTTGATTTAGCGCATTTCTTTATTTTCTTATTAATGTATATATGTGTAAGACATTTGGCATTGTAGGTACTTGAATTAGCGGAAGTTTCTTTCCGCCAAAAACGCTAAAAAGATTACACCGCCAAATGTAATACGTTTGCAGTATATTTTCAACTACATGTACTTACATTCTCTATTGAGTAATTGGGAAAGATGATAAAAGGGAGGACATCCTGAACAATTTCCTCTTCCTCCCTGAACCACGTATGATCCATTTGGTAATATGTTCCACTCAGGGCACACATTACCTAAAACGAGAGAAAAAATTTCCATATTTTACATAATATTACAATTCATCATTTAACGTTTAGAGACTTCTGTTAGCCTAAGAAAAAAAAATCAAAACTGTTTATAGATTATCCTTTTTGCAATTCTTAATAATATTGTTCATGTTGAGAACAATTATATGAATTTACAAATGTGTGATTAATTTTCAAAATAATTTCCAAAAGTAATTTGAGAGTTAAGGACATTGGCAACGTTTCTGGCTTTCGTATAGAATTTTTAAAGATTTTTTGAGCAGGTTTAATGGCACCAAACATGTTCAATTCAGGTCCTTTTTACCCATCAAGCCAGCCTTCCTTTCTTGGTTTTGTCAAATCAATGTTTTTACAATTTTCAATGCATTTCCTATGTAAAATGTTGATAAAATGGTCCTATATTATTTTTAACCATACGTTTTCTCCAAAACCCATTTTTTTCATTTATACATAAAATACATTGTTGAAACCTTGTTTCCATTGACATGCATATACTTTGGCTGAAAATGCAAATATTGAAACAAAACACAGAAATACCAGCACTGTTCTTTAATTTTGAGTTACTTTCCTTAACATCTAATCAAATATTCATAATGATCAAGAGACTGGTTGTTTGTTTCCATTCTATAATTTACTTTCTTAGAAACGAACTGTCATAAAACATGTTTGCAAGGATTTATTAGTAACTTTTAATGGTGCCTCCTTCACAAAACCTATAGAATCGTTCTCATCCAGTCTACCTAGATATCACCACTTTCAGCATAATTATTTCACATCTTTGCACTTCCCAGCATTCATGTACCTATTCTAAATGACGACCTATTGACTGTCTGCCCCCTCAGCACAATGTAAACAAACCCATCACTGCTTTTCTTTTATTACTGTGAAGTTGAATATATCCGATAAAAAAACACATGTGCTTTTGTTTACCTCTCAGCCTGTAAAATATGCTTTATTTGTTTTCAGCGCCTAGAGAATTCCATACGGGAGATCACTCTCAATGACTTTTTTTTCATAAGTAAAAAAACCTATGTATAAACCTTTTTTCTCCGGAAACCCTTCGTTGCCAATGACCTTAAATACTGAATTTTAAAGTTTGGTCACATGTTAAAATGGAATTTCTCTGATACATTGATTCACTTAAACATGTAATTGTTTCATACATTTTATCATACATGTAATTGCAAAAGAAACCAGAGTACAAAATTTTCATGCAATTAATCGAACTCTGCCTGAAATTACAACAGCTGTATCAGCACAATGCAATATGTATGTTTCAGCCAAATGTATTAGAGACATAAATTATTATCATTTGCAGTTCAATAACTAAACAGTGTATTACAGTACTAGTTTTGATTATTTGCCACGTCAGTAGACCTATTTACCCATATCAATGTCTCTCAGTGTTGTCCATGAGATTTGGCGTTTGCCAGTAAAATTTCATTTTCCATTGATTTTACATATATAAATGGAGAACAACTGCTTTTCTAATTACTTAAACATTTTATATATTTTATGTCATTTTATCCCACAGCGTTTTGGCAAGGCAAAGCGTAAAACTGAGACAGATCACAACGAAAACTAACTACTCAATTCTAAACTAGTGTATTTCTAATTTCTGTATTTTCATAATTATAGCAAAATATGAGACGTATTTCGGATTAAAAATCCGTACAAACAAGAAATCTGTGAGCCAATGCTCACTAGTAATACCCCCACTCTGATGTGAATAAACACTACCATGTTAATATATATACAAGCTCAATTACAGGCAAATGCACAGAAAAATATGAAGTTGACATCATATTAACATCAAAATGAATCCCACTATATAACATGTCTCAACAAAGAGTGTACTAAAATTTCAAGCATCTGCAATGAGTAGTTGCTGAGAAAACTGAGAAGAAAATTTGTTATGTATGAAATGAACAGACACACAGACAAACAGGAAGTTGTTTGATTTGAACAAAAATGTATCCCAACTTGTGGCATGACTCAGAGAAGATTGTATTAAAATTTCAAGCTTCTGTGATGAGAAGTTGCTGAGAAAATTGCGACGAAAATATGTTGTGTATGAAATGAACAGACAGACAGACAAACAGGAAGTTGACATCCTATTTGAACAAAAATGTATCCCAACGTATGGCATGACTCAGAGAAAATTGTATTAAATTTCAAGCATCTGTGATGAGTAGTTGCTGAGAAAACTGCAAAGAAAATTTGTTAAGTATGAAAAGAACAGATGCACAGACAAACAGGAAGTTGACATCAGATTTGAACAAAAATTTATCCCAGCGTATGGCATGACTCAGGGAAAACTGTATTAAAATTTCAAGCTTCTGCAATGAGTAGTTGCTGAGAAAACTGCGACGAAAATTTGTTATGTATGAAACGGACAGACGCACAGACAAACAGGAAGTTGACATCCTATTTGAACAAAAATGTATCCCAACATATGGCATGCCTCAGAGAAGATTGTTTTAAAATTTCAAGCTTCTGCGATGAGTAGTTGCTGAGAAAACTGCGACGAAAATTTGTTACGGACGGACAGACAGACGGACGGACAGACAGACAGACAGACAGACAGACACACAAGGGTAAAACAGTATACCCCCCTCTCCTTCGGAGCGGGTAAAACAGTATACCCCCCTCTCCTTCGGAGCGGGGGTATAAATATGGTGAAATCTTAAGAGTAAACAGGTCTGTGTCAACTTTAGCACACAAGTCCTACATGTACACACCATTCAAGCATATGTCAGGTGCACAACCCCAAGCGTGTGTATCATTAGGGACACTGTACAGGCAAACTGATGATAAACTGCCATTACAACTGATTGCGTTCTCCAGTTGTGTGTTGCATATAGCACTGGGATGGAGAATTTTTATTTCATCCACCACCCGGGCTCCTGACTCACATCCCTGCAAATATACACAGAAGTGCATGTCACTAAAAGACAATGTAAAACACCATTCACTCAAGTACTAGTCACATTGCTTTTTTTTTTAATTTTCTGCCATTCGACAACAAAAATTCACAACAGGTGAACTATTTTTGGCTGTTACGACTTGACAGGATAAGAAACATGTTTTGCTTAAAGGCAGAAAGATGTGTATTTTTATTATCCTTCTTTTTTAAAGTTGGTTTCCTGAAATTAACTAAACTTTCACAAAATGTTGAGATGATGCCTGGATTATTCTAAAACCTACCTCAGCTTGGCTCACTATTATGCTGAAGCATATACATATAAAAAGCTTCCAAATCTCTTTCTTTGAGGCTAAGGTAAGTAGATTGGCAGCAATCCATCCGAGTAGTTTTCCGATCTTTTGGCATTTTTCATACTCTATAGCAAATGATCATTAAAAATAATAATGGGTCAACAATATAATTTTATGAAATTATTTACTACAATTTGCTATAATTTCATACAACAATCTTTTGTTCCTATAACATGCACATGTATATCTAATACTGTAAACCAACATTTCGCTAAAACTTTTACTTCTGATTCAATTTGAAATCCATCCTTGATGACTAATTTTTGTTATTGACAGATCTTTATACATATTTAATACACTTTTGAGTGAAATGTTCCCCAATAAAGAATATTTGCAAAAAAATGAAAATCTCACCAATTCTCACAAAAATTGGTCAACCATACCTGCATGACTCATTTTCTTGAACTTTCTTCCTACACCAGATTTCCCACCAGGGCCACAAGACAGAGTTTTCTTTTCTAGATCAGGTGAAACAAGACAGCCAGTAAATGGATTCAATTCTGCTGGACCAGATGACAGATCATGTGCCGTCGAGGGCTTCAGTCCTAATGCTGTCCCTGGATCAAATGATGTATCAAGACCACTGAATTGATTGTCGTCTTTCTCTTTTTCCACTGCCTCAGAGCCTAGTATTTCTCCTGCAGACCCTGTTTTAATACCTAAAGGTAAACCAATGAATCCTTTGTTATGTAAAAAAAACTAGAACTGTCCAAACGGGACAAAATACCCCCCGCTGGGTTTTTCAGAAGTAAGTTTTTGCATAATAAAGATATGTATCAAACACAAATTATGAAATTTTTCTTCCAGTGACCTTGAACTTCCCCAAATTGCCTTGGGTCAAGGTCATGACACACCCTTGGGTCATGGGCAATCTTTTTGTGAAATGAGAACCTACCAAGTTTATCTATAAAAAATATGTATCAAACATGAATTATGAAATTTTTTTTCCAGTGACCTTGAACTTCCCCAAATGACCTTGGGTCAAGGTCATGACACACCCTTGGGTCATGGGCAATCTTTGTGTGAAATGAGAACCTACCAAGTTTATCCATAAGAAAGATATGGACCGGACACGAATTATAAAATTTTTCTTCCAGTGACCTTGAACTTCCCCAAATGACCTTGGGTCAAGGTCATGACACACCCTTAGGTCATGGGCAATCTTAGTGTGGAGTAGTAGATTCTAAAGTCCCTCTGTAAGAAAGATATGGACCGGACACGATTGCACAGACAGACGGACGGACATCTAGACGGACGGATGGACAGACAGACAGACAGACAGATGGACAAGGTGATTCCTATATACCCCCCAAACTTCGTTTGCGGGGGGTATAAAAATCTGCTATTAATTATATAAACTGTATACAAATTAGAATATTCTTAATATTATGATTATAGCACATCACATGTTGCCATTGGGTCCCTGGCAAATTTTATACATTTATTGACCGAGTTCAATGGCTACATGCATTTTGTCTGACCCAAGAACCAAACTGTTTGCTGATTGAGGCATATAAATATGACTATAAGCAAAGACTTGATGATCTTGAGAGAGATGTGTGTTCATGCATACATACCCTTTGCTGTTGACTTCATTAACAGTAAACGTTTTGCATACTTTGATGTTATGGTCAACTGTACATTCAACTTCCATATACCCTTTACTGAAATAAACAAAATTTTAAAACAAGTTACAAACACTTTTTTAACATTAGTTATAGATATAATTAGATATAAATCCATGCATTTACTTCAAAGATATTATCTTCAGGATTTATGCAAAGAAAAAAATTCATACATTTTAGTTCTAAAATTCCATCACTTTTGTTTATCTTTATATGGAGCTCTTCTACTAAAGGAGATCAATCTAGTATAAAAATGGCCAAAACCACTCAGTCCTCTTAAATCAATGAGAATACCTACCTTGAAGTTCCCTAAAAGTCATTCCCTCCATCTCTAGTGCTAAGAGTAGGGATGAAGGATCTTCATTGTTTACACACATTTGTACCATCCACGGTCTGAATTCTGAGGACCCCTCCCAGACCTTGGGCTAATTAAGATATAAAATGATTTTAATCATCATAAATACATACATACGGATTGTACAGTTTCAATCTTTGACAAAAATATAAAAGTTTATGTGTACAGTAAATTTAAACTTGACTAATCCAGAATTCAAGAAAAACTGGCTGCGCATGGATGAGACAGCAGTCTGGATTGAAAAACATTTTTAAAAAGCAAATTAAATTTACCAAAAGGGACAGAAAGTTCTGACTGTCATGAGTGAAATTTAGATTACATAACATCCAGTTTGGACCATCTTTGCTAGCCAGACAAGTTTCATTTTACATGTTTTTCTTATTCATCAAGTTTGAGATAACATTTAAGGTTTGACTGTGTGAATATAAAGCCTCTTTTTTTAAATTTATTAACTTTTTTTAATGATCTAAAAAGCATAAAGGAGGTTGGGAGAATTAAAATAAATCTTACACTGCAGAGCAACTTACATCTTCCAATTTAGTTGTCCCAGAATATCTGAACTGGATATCAAAGTCAATTGCACAATCCAGCGTCTCTCCATGTCCAGTCAAGTCAAAACCGTCGGACTGAAACTTTTCCTCTGAAAAAATTTATTAAACAATATACATGTATCAGGTACCTCTTGGTTTGAAACAAAACTGTCAGATTTCTGACTTATCGCAGCATGACGTTTTCAAATTGGCTAATATTAATACAAAAATATTTTGTAGATGATGTAATGTTACTTGAACAAAAATTTGACAAATGCTGTGGAATTGTATTCTTCATGGGGGGGTCAATGTTCGTTGATAAACAAAATTTGACTGGTTTGTAGGGATGTTATTTCCTGTGTCATTTAACTCACTTGCATATATTATCAAGATAAATAAATTACTGTAGATTCCTTATTATACTCGAGGAATTCATTTCCGTGTAATTTCGCGAGAAGCATCACTCGCGAAAAAATATTACTCGCTTTTTATTTTTATTGTGCTGAAATCTATGTAAATTCTGTTGATAAACCATCCGTTCGCGCATTATAATTCTCGCAATTTGACGTTAAAGAGCCAGTTCGCAATAAAAAGTACTCGCGAAAAATAAGGAATCTACAGTAACTGATTGAAATGTATGTGTTTTTTGTGGGGATTTTAATTGGTTGGTAAGGACTACCAATGAAATCAACAACCACTGAATCCCTGTGAACAATAATGATTCCTCGAGTTGGAACAATATCAGAGATATTATTATCCTTCAGAATTATACAGTCAATCTGATTGGTTTAGAGCAGGTCACATGCCGGGAGACAACTCATGAAGTCTCCTTCACGCACAGGGTGACAACTGTTATCTCCCTTCAGATGACAATGAAATAGCGAGCATGCAGGGTTACAACTGTGTTGTTGCCCTTTGAGTGAAACTACACTGATTGAAGTGAGATAACCCCTTTTTATAAGTACAGTTGCTAAATGTGCGGGATCGGTCAACAATAAATTCTAACGATGACGGCAAAGTTGTCTCTTGAACTATTTTGAAAGTATGGAATTAGAGCAGTGTAGAAGAATAACAGGGTTTCAGTATTATTTTCTACTCTTTCTAATTGATAATATTTGGTACTGTATATTCTTCAGTATAATAAACTTATTATGGACTGTTTAGAAGGGAGACATCTCCAATTATCAGGTCTGAGTAGGGTTGTCACCCTCGGGCGCAAGCGTCCTCGGGTGACAACCCTACTCAGACCTGATAATTGGTGATGTCTCCCTTCTAAACACTCCATAATTTTATATTGATTCTGTGTGAGGATGATACATGTGAAGAAATATCAAAATATCAAAAAATATCCTGACATTTTTTTCCCTTTCACTAATGGGTTTAATATATATAAAGAAAAATAACTGAACATAAATACAAAATTCATCATCATTAACAACATTTGTGTACATCAACTTAGTTTTCATCTCCGTTCTAATAATTTCACAGTACCTTTATCCTCTTCTCTATCCATTTTAAGCTGGCCTCCTGTCCACTTTTTTATATTCAATTGTAGGGCACCATCGACTACATTTACATAAGATTGCCACAATGACTGGTCTCTGTAAAAACTGGGAAAAAAATTAAAATTTGTATACAAATCATACAAAATCTAACTTACGATTAAGAAATAAGAATGATAATTTCTTCAAACGGAGCTCATATAACTTATATAAGCTTCATAAGAGAAAAGATATTACTAAAATCTGTTGGGAGAAAAAATTCTATTATGTGATTTAAATCAATAATATTATATAAGAAGATTATTTTCATAGTTTTCATTGGCTGAAAGTACGTCACGTGATATTCCTCCTTTCGTGATATCGATGCGAAAGCGCGTCCATGGAAAATAATATTGCACGACACGCTGTTTGTTTGCACTAAAGTTACGTAGAATGTGACGTCATAATATAAGAAGTGTGATTTAAACATCGTGACGTAATGACAGCCAAGTCCGTTCAGTTAGCACTGTGTCAGTGCAATTCAATATTTGAGTGATTATATAATATAACTATTATGGACCTCAGTGAACGGTCAATATGTGGTTATAAGAACTCATGGCAATAGATATTGACCTCAGACACAGAAAATGATAACGACCTTGCAGGCTCGGTCGCTATCACTTTCTGTGTCTTCGGTCAATATCAATTGCCATGAGTCCTTATAACCACATATCGACCTACACTGAAGTCCATAATTGTTTAATATTGAACTATATATTAGACATACGCAATGTGATGTTTGCTGTCCATTTCCATGATTCTCTCGATCTCTTTCTTTCATTTGATTTCACTGGAATGAAAATAGATACAATCAATATAGGAATAGTAGTGATATTATAGGCCTAAAGTACAAGAAGGTCTGATTAAGAACATATTATTTTTGCTTCAGAAAATATACAATGCCAAAAATAAACAAGAGGCCCATGGGCCTTATAGGTCACCTGAGCATCATGCAACAACTTTGCAATGAATGACTTTGGTTCATGTTTTAAACTAGACATCATGGCATTCACAATTTTGAAAGAGGCACCAATGCTAATCATAAACATACACTTAGCATGTTTAGTTTGGTTACTTAATACCCATAGACAGAGCAGGGGAACAAAAAATGTATCCCAACTAATCAGTAATATTAAGCAATAATCAGTAGTGCCACTACCTTGGTCCACACATTTCACAATTTTGGAAAAGGCACCATGTTTGATAAATAGAAAGGAGAAGATTTCAATCAATTAATTCATTTTCAGTATATTAGTAGAGCCCCCCCCTTCTATGGTACCCCTGACCCAGGGGCATTGAAATTCACAATTCAGGAAGAGTTGCCCTTGCTCATCATAGCTATGTATCGGGTAGGTAGTTCATCTGCTTAATACCCAGGAGCAGAGAAGAAGATTTTCAAACAATTTCTGCATTTTCTCTATTAAACCAATAGAGCCCCGCCCTAACAACAGAAGCCCGGACCCTGGGGCCATGAAATTCACAAAGGCATTCTTCCTTATCATTACTATGTTCTTAGTTAGTTTATTTAATACCCAGGAACAGAGAAGAAAATTTTTAAAGAAATAATGTATTTTCACTATATAATCAATAGAGCCCCACCCTAAGACCAGAACCCCTGACCCTGGGGCCATAAAAATTCACAATTTTTGAAGAGACATTCTTGCTCATCATAACTATGTACTTAGTTAATTTATTTAATACTCAGGAGCAGAGAAGATTTTCAAAGAATTAATATATTTTCACTATATAATCAATAGAGCCCCGCCTTAACACTTGAACCACTGACCTGAGGCCATAAAATTCACAATTTTGGAAGAAGCATTCTGGCTCATCTTAACTATATAATTAGTTAATTCTTTGAATACCCACTACCCAGCAGTAGAGAAGAATATTTTCAAACAGTTTCTGCATTTTCTCTATATAATCAATAGAGCCCCCCCCCCCAACACTAGAACCCCTGAGCCTGGGGCCATGAAATTCACAATGTTGGAAAAGGCATTCTTCCTCATCATAAATATGTACTTGGTTAGTTTATTTAATACACAGGAGCAGAGAAGAAGATTTTCAAACAAATTCTGCATTTTCTCTATATATTCAATAGAGCCCCGCCCTAGCACTAGAACCCGACCCTGGGGCCATGAAATTCACAATTTTGCAAAAGGCATTCTTCCTCATCATAACTATGTACTTAGTTAGTTTATGAAATACCCAGGAGCAGAGAAGAAGACTTTTAAAAGAAATAATGCATTTTCACTATATAATCAATAGAGCCCCACACTAGCACTAGAACCCCTGACCCTGGGGCCATGAATTTCACAATTTTGGCAGAGGACTCAATGGTCATTACATTTATGCTAACAGTTTGACTGCTTGATGTCCAGGGGTAAAGAAGAAGATTTTTAAAGATTGCACTAATTTTAGTGGTTTTGGCCCCACCCCTCAGGCCCCAGGGGGGCAGGGACCATAAAATTCACAATTTTTGTTCCCCTTCACCCATAAATGCTTTATGTAAAATTTGGTGGAAATTGGTTGAGTGGTTGCAGAGAAGAAGCTGAAAATGTTCAAATGTTAACACACGACGCACGAAGAACGACGCACGACGACGGACAAAAACGGATAGCAATGGGTCACCTGAGTTTACTCAGGTGACCTAAAAATGGTTTGTTTGATGTACGCCCGACCCATCAAAATTGCCCCTACCTAATAATTTTTTAAGCACTTTGACATTTGGTTAACAACAAAGTTCAGATTGACACTAGCCAGAAACTTTGAACTCAAGACAGAACAACAACCGGTAGAAACAACAATATTCTGGCATTTCAGTTACATGTACCATAATGCCGAACTTCAGTGAGGAAGGAGTCATTCTATCCACAGGCCTCTGAATTTCTATCAATAAGCCGTTACATGCTTGATTAGAGTGATATATATATCAATAATATTATATAAGAAGATTATTTTCATAGTTTTCATTGGCTGAAAGTACGTCACGTGATATTCCTCTTTTCGTAGGGGGACAAAAGTAAGGGTGAAACGTTTACTGAATTTTGTAAACGTTTAAACGGATAGCAGTAAACGAAACGGTACCATTTAAACGGGAGATATTCTATGTTGGATTTTTATTGCTATTTACTCATGAAACTCGAATTTAATAATCAATTCTTTCACTTTAATATAAGTATGAGTTGTTATTACAATTTCATTGTTGGTCATTATGACTTAAACGTAAGAATTTGAGGCGCATTAAACTCATTCACTTTCTACCTCGTCACCCAACTGCTTGGTTTGTTTTGCTACATACCGTACGTAGAAAATAGAATTGTAAAGATGGATCTTTTAGTCACGAAAAAAGTAAAACAAGACCTGCTGACTGTATCGAAACACTTTTCAAAGACTTGTGAAAAATGTATTATATTTATTTAATCAAATATATCAAGTTTTATATTTCAAGTGTCGTAAAACATCGCTAGTATATATTGGCAACTCGGAAATCGGAATTAAATATGTTAGACCGTATCAGGTTTTAGATATTTTTATTCAATATGTTTCCGGTTTAGAATGTTGCTTATCAAATGGTCAAAAACGGTGTTTCTTTTGTAAATTATGAAATAAAACAATTTGTTTGTGTTAAACTTTATTTCTGATAGACATTGATAATGACCTTCGTGTAAACGTTTACTCAAACTGTAAACGTTTAGAGCATATAATCGAAACGTCGCCGTTTACACGTGTAATCGTTTCACCCTTAGACAAAAGTGTTGAGAAAAAATGGTGTCACGTTTCCAACAGAAGAGAGACAGCAGAAAACAGTCTTGACAGCTGACTTGCTATGACAAAATCACAAATAACTTACCTTAATACTTAGTAAGATGACCTTTTAATCGAATGACCTGTTGTATTCTTCTTGGAATCGATTGATAAAGATTTCTGACATAATTTACGCTGATGTCCTGCCATATCCTAAGCGTTTCTTGAAAAAGTTCATCTGCGGAATTTATATTGTGCATCCATGATTGGAGTTTTCTTTTAATATAAAGCCATACATTTTCTATGATATTTAAGTCCCGAGACTGTGCAGGCCAGCTCATGTTCTTAATATGGTTTCTGGCAATAAAATCCTGTGTAACACGAGAGCGATGTACGGGGGCGTTATCATCTTGAAAGAGGTAACTTCCTTGTGGGAAATGCCGCACTATAACTGGCCAGAGGTTTGATTCGAATTAGATGTTAATATATTTTTCTGAATTAATGTTCCCTTCCACCCGACACAAAGTTCCAATTCAGCCGAAGCACAGTGGCCAACTTTTTCAAAGCCAAGTTACTTTCACTTCCAATTCTTTTCGTACATTTTCCTAAAATTCCTTTATATCACTATACTTTGGTGAAAAGTGGGGGGGGGCCCAACCACACTTCCAATGAACATTTCCTATGGTAAAGGTAATGTTGGGGAAAAAAGTGGGGGGGGAGGGGCAGGCCCCCCCCCCCCCCCCCCCCCCCCCGTTGCTACGCCCCTGGACCCAATCTTGGCAAATTCTCCACTGATCCAGTGTCTTGATATTTACATACAATACGGTACACTGAAGCCAGAGACGTATTGACACTTCTTGCAATACCTGATATTTTTTCTCCGTTTAGGTCGAGTTCCACAATAACTTGTTTCAAGGGTTGTGAGATTTCCTGACGTTTCGCCTCTATTTTGTTACCGAGATAGATCGTCAACAAAACTATCATAGCAGATGACAAAATATACGTCATGCTATACGTCAATTGTACTGACCTTTTTATATTTCAGGGGGATTTCCAAAATTGCAACTCTGAACAAAAATACACGACTTTTGATACGTGCGGATCTATAATTTATTCTAGTGACGCCATTTTTTTCTCAACACTTTTTTCCCCCTACTGTATAAATACACAGGTATGCAACAACTTTTTACCCCCCATGCAGACTCGGAGCCGAATTTTTGGGAAAAACGAGTGTCTAACCTTTAGTGTGCAGAACTGTGCCCAGGATTGATTTTCCTTAATGCCATGCTTCAAAAATTTCAAATGCATCGAAATATAGACGCAATCAACCAATATTTTCCACTTTTCAAAAAACTCTACCCCTTGCCACCGCCATGCGCTGACGTCACGTAAAGAACAGGTCCAGCACAATACCCTGATAAAGGTATATAGCTTGATAAAGCTATATAGCTTTATCAAGGTAATTAAAATACCTTGATCAAGGTATTTTATGTAATGAAAATTCAAAAAAATTCTTTAAAAATTAAAAACTGAAAGTCGAGTTCTAAGTTTTTGTCAGTGTGTCTACTCTTGCATGAAAAACACTCTGGTATCAAAAAGAAAGCATAAAATAACGTCTTCTCACACAACACATTTTTATACTGATTTGTTTATGTTTGAGTATTTTACATGCATGGGTGAATTTACTGACAACAACTCAGAACTCGACTATCAGTAATTAATTTTTGATGAATTTTTTTGAATTTTCATTGCATAAAATACCTTGATCAAGGTATTTTAAATACCTTGATAAAGCAATATAGCTTTATCAAGCTATATACCTTTATCGGGGTATTGTGCTGGACCTGAAGAACGGGGTGGCAAGTTTTTAGAAAAGTGGAAAATGTTGCCGTTTTTCATATTTCCTATGTGCCGTTTTCACCAGGTGCCATTTTGACTTGTTACCGTACCCACTTCTACCGTGATGGCTCCGAGCTCTGACTTTCTCAAGGCTCGCCTCCGTCAATAACTGAATAAGTCACCAGCCAAACAATACATTTATTTTTTAAAATCACCTGTACATGTAAACTGGTAAATATAGACTGTCACAGTTGCAATCCACTGTTTTTCATTTTGAAATAAGCAAACTTTTAAATTCAATACCCTTTACTCACCGTCTCACCATGCTCATGGCTTCCTTCACGGTAGGGATTCCTTCACGGTATTCACCGCCAGACGATCAGTTCCCAACCACCTGTTCAACTTCAAGTTCAAGGCTGTTGCCGAAAGAGCAAAATCTCGATCCCGACTCCAAAAAAAAATGCTACGCAGAGCAAGATGCAAAAAACTAGGAATTACAAATAAATACACCTTTTATGTATTTTCCAATTCAAAATTGAACAATTAACACATTTTAAAAATAAAAATCACAGACCTGTGTAACCAGGGTCTGTATCCAGGGTTTTGAAGAAATTCCACACTTTTTGTACATTTAATGTACGTACTTTAATTTCTTTAATTTACTTCGATAGGCATACAAAGAGTATAAGAATTCTCCTGTCATTGCAAAGCACCGTTAATCACTTCTAATTTCATATCATATTAATAAACATTGATATCTATGGTTAGATTAAAATGGACATCAATTTTAAAATGCTTTTACGGGGTAAAAATTCGACTTTTTATTAGACTTTTCTGAGAACTTCAAAGAACTTTGAAGCACATATTGAGAGGTATATAATGAAAATTGTTGATTGAAAAGATTAAATTTTCAAGCTTCATTTTGAGACTTTTTAAATTAAATTATGAATTAAAGAGTTGTCCTTCCTGGCTGAGAATCGGAGTCCCTTAATTTCAAACGATGCGGATACACTGATATAAAGAAAACAGATCAGTATTAGCAGATTGAGACTTAGTGCTCGTAACCTTGCCATAGAAAAAGGGAGACATTATTCTATACCCACAGATAAAAGAATTTGTAATATTTGTAACACAGGTGAGATTGAAGATGAATTTCATTTTCTCTTCATCTGCCATAGAAGGATATTTCGGGGTTTTTTTTTGTTTGTTTGTTTTTTTTGTTTTGTTTTTTTTTTTTTTTTTTTGTTTGTTTTTTTTTTAAGTTGCTTTGATATCAGAAAAGAAAGTCAAAAATGAATATTAATATTGAGAAATACACAATCTTGTTCACCTCATATATATTTCTCACTTTTTATATATGCATGTATTAATCGTGTTAATTTGTGTTATGTTAAACTTATTAATGTTCATGACTGTATGCCGACATGGTAATAAATTATTGTCAATAAAGTGAATTGAATTAAATAAAATACAATAATCATATTATATTAGGTTAACTTTTGAAAGTAACTTGGTGAATTTTTTTCATGAAAAAATACCAAATATGTCTAATACTCAAAAAGTTAAGTTTTGCTTCAAAACAATGTAACCATTATTCAGAAGTACTGAAAATACATGTAACAAACTCATTTATTGAATTGAACATATTTTATTGACAATTAAAGTCAAATAGATAAGACACATGTTCTACAAATTAGATAGTCTTCTTCTTATACAAAATTTTATAACATTGCCTAAATACAAGCACAATTATTTTCAGTAACAAATTAATTAGTAGTGTAAAAGACTGTAAGCTCCAATTCTATGTATACAAAAATTAAGACTTTTCAGAGAATCTACCAAATTCTTATAAAAAAGAATGAATAACTGTAATTTTTTCTACATTTTGTTGATCAGAGAATGAATTAACACCCCCATAACATCATAATTTTTACAGTAATGGTCTACATGAAACGCATCAAAAATTTTGTCACAGGTATGAATAACGTCATTTTACACACTTATTATCGCCATATGCCTTTTGTCCCTGTAAGTCCGTAGTACCAGGTCACAGGTACTTGTGGACAGGACCCCCCCCCCTTTGATTTTTCATAATTTCATAAAATGTTAATTAACATTGGTATCTATGATTAAATTAAAATGAATGTCAATTTCTTGATATGGAAATTGTTGCATGAAAAGATTCAATTTTCAAGCTTCATTTTGAGTCTCTTTTGAATTAAATCAAAAATTAAAGAATTGTCCTTCCTGGCTGAGGATCAGAGTCCCTTAAAAATATGTAGGATTTTTTGCGAGCGCTCGCAAACATGTGCTCCGTTGAATAGACCTGCTACATTATTTATGTGAACCGTACGCGTGACAAGGATATCGGGTTTTCATTGTCGTGGGTATAGTTCCTCGTATAGACACGTGCTACGTACACGATGTGAGTCCTATACAGTGATTCAGGCTTGGCTGAAATCTATTGTCTAAGAAAACCTGTTTTTTTTATCTTGTCTATTCTTGGGTAAATTAAATTCACTTTTGCTTGGGCTTAGAGTGAGGTATGTTGTAAAAAAAAAATTCCATTTGTGGATTTCAAACTTTGATTTTTTTTCAACTACTTTATTTTTGAAATAGTTTAATTAGAATTGAATCAGAAATGTCGTCAGAGGATTAAGATGTAGTTGGGGTTTTGAGACATCTGCTCCAACACGCTCGAACAGAAGCGTTCGTTTTGATATTGAGCAAGAGAGAGGTTTGAATTTGAGAGAATTAATTAGACAGGCAGATAGAAAATCTTATACTGCTGAATGTTTAGGAAGAGATAAACAGAACGAAAGCCGGGGAAGAGAGATTTAGACATTTACAATCTGAGAGTGATTTTTTATTTAGGTACTAGTCTATCTAGAAGTCAAAGGTCAGATAGAAGATGGGACAGCGTGATTAGTGGGTTTGCTAACAATGGCGGATCCAGGAATTCGATCCGTAACGGGAGTGGGTGGGGGTGCAGTAATGGCTATGAGAAATCCTATACTGAAAATCAAGTTCAAATCTGTAATCAAAATATGAACATAAAAATACAGTATAAAAATATTTCGAAAATCATTTGGTCATTTATGCACTCCACAATAGACAATGTACATGTATAAATTATATAGTAACCCTGTAATGTTATCTTTGCACAGACAGGATGGAGACACGTAAGACGGACATTACAAACATTATATATATTTATGGTGGTGCACAAAAATGATAGTTTGTGTGTTACACTGGTCAGCTGCTGGTTAAGACTTTGAGAAATCATATTGTAAGTAGCTAATGGTTTTAATAAGATTCATAAAGCTGCGCTGTCTAAAGATATTTAAGTTGGATGTTAATTCAGATACATCTTTTTTTGTAGTAGGATCGTTGATCAAGATATGATGTATTATATTATCATAAAAAGTACATTAAAGCACAATATACATATAATGCACAGGGCAATATTTACATTCAGTTACATGTACATGTATATGTACCTCCAGGGTTGATATTCTTTTGATCTGATTTATGTGTTATTTATCCAGTTGTGAACCATTTATATGTTGTATTGAGCTTTGTACATTTTTTACCTGATAGATTTCATACACGCAGATATAAAACGTATTCCTACAGGTAATTTAATTATTTTCATATATCCAGCTCAGTCGCCATTATAATATATGTATTTGTAGAACTTAAAATATGTAGAGTATTTACATTTGTACGCACCTTGATCTCAAATGGAGAGAACTAATATAGGCCCTTGGCCTGCTGTTCAATCCATATTCATATTGTACACTTCTTTGTATATTGTGAATAAAATACTTGTTAAACTAAACTAGGTTGCCATTAACATGGCAATTTTGATCATTAAATGCTCTGCACCCCTTTAGGAAACCTGCGTAATTATTTTAAAACGTTTATTTGTAGGCTCAGAAAGTTCTTCGACTTACTCGGTATCCATGGTAGTCGACAACAAAATTATTCTGAGAAAAAATCAGGGATGTTTCGTTAGACTCTCACGAGACTAAATAAAAACAGAAAGAAATTGATGAAGAGGAAAACAGGTAAGGTTATCTTTTTATAATTGTATAACAATTCATAAAGCCTCAGAATTATACATTTGTAAGTCGATATTAGCTGACATCAAAAACAATAAATAGTGGAGTGACAAACCTAGAAAAGGATGCTTATTTTTCGAGTTTTATGGACCAGCATACCCTCCGGCTGAAAGTTATATTTCATGAAAGAAACACCCCTCTTTATGTATTTTCGCCCGGCCGTAAAGATTTTTCAAGTAATATTTTTTTAAATATTGCGATGAAAGTGAAAAACGGTGGGTATTTAAGTCGATTATTTTTTTCTTGCTTAATATATAAATTTTTTAAATATAAATAATTGAATTTTTTTTAAAAAAAATACTAATTTGTGTGTGATAGGATTGCTACAGGTATCTTAATTTAAAATGCAAAATTAATCAGGAATATTTTTTGACCCCCCTCTTTTAAATCTGTAAACCTATAGGGTTTGAGACAAATATTTTAACTGGTAAAATAAACATCATCATTTATGTACAATGTACTTATGATATAGTGCATTGGCCTCTAATTCAAAAAGGATATGGAAGTATAAGACTTTTCCGACAAAATAAACAAACCTGTTAATCGGATTAAGGAAAGTGCATATAAGCTACCAGGATGTTTATTTATTTGGGGACTTCAATACAGTGACAATAATTGCCTAACATTATTAAAAATTATGTTAATGTTATACTAACCTTTGCCTAATACAAGGACACTGACCGCCAGTTTACAAAAATCTTTATCATGATTATATTTAGATTACTTCACTATTTTATGAAAATTCCGGGATTTAGACCCAATTTATTGAGTAACTTGTTAACTTAAATCACATGGGCGTCGGAACCAGGGGGGGGGGGGGGCTAGGGGGGCTTAACTCCTACTTTTTTTGCAAATGAAAATTGGGGATTACTTTTTTTGCTGGTTTAGCCCCCCCCCCCCCACACTTTCAATTTGCTTCCGACGTCTATGAATCAAAACGTGTCTATTATATAATTATGCAAATGAGTATTATGTATTGTACATTATAAAAATACGATCTTCAGTGTCTTTGTATGAGGCAAAAGTTAGTATAACATTGACAAGACGATCATATTCCAATAAGGTGGTACAAGGCAATTTTTTATAAAAAGACAATTGTTTCTCAGGACTAAAAGCTAATTGAAACTCGCTACTTAAGGTAGGTCCGTACTTTCAAAATAACCATCAAACTAATATTTTTTTCATTTTAATACCTTCAGTAAGTCATAAACTAACTAAAACACCCATAAAAATATATCTTTGCAGGTGAATTTTCATACAAAATGTCTCTGAGTACATACCTCTAAAACTTCAACAGCAAAAATTGATCTTAAAGAAGTGAGATATCATATTTCATTTAGCTATGCACCAAATCACATAAAATCTATGTTAAAACTTAACAAAATCAAAAATATTCATTTGCCAAGAGAATATTTGAAATTTTTATAGGAAATCATTAACAAATTAATTTTTAATCTGTCCAAGTCTTTCAGAAAAAAAATCCAAAAATTTCTTTATTTTTAATATTTCTCAAAATCGAAACTGTTTCTGTGCCATTTTTTCTTTAAAAATATGAAGAATCATATCTAAGGTTAACAAAAACACATAGTTTATTATGTTCAACCAGATAAATTTAACAAAACAGCCTTTTGAACACGTATACCCCCATATTTGAAATATCAATTTTTTATCATTCTTTGCAAAAAGTTTTTAAAAAGTAAAATATAAAAAAGATGATGTAGGCTTTAAAATCAATCAAAATGGATCTCATGTTAGTTTATTTAAAAAAAATAAAAAGCATTCGGTCCATAAAGGCAATAAAGAATTTTGTGTCTGTGTATGTACTAAGTGACATATAGTTCCTATGGACAGAGTGCAAAGTGTTAAAATTTCCATAAATAACAATATTAAATGCTTTGTATTCTCAATGACATTATAATAAACAAATACATACTTCCTAAATTATTTTCAATCATCCAAATAGATTTTTTCATTAGATAAGTGATAATCAGAATTTTATATTGGTGTGTAAAATTAAAACCGGATACGTAAATGTATGGACCTTCCTTAAGTAATTGTTTTTGAATATTTATTAATAAATGACGTATGTCCATTGGCGCAATAACCGAGGGTGGTAAATTCCCCTAGAGACAGCATATGCTATATATTAATCTGCATTACAAAAAATAGATAGATAATTATTTGTACAATGCTGCATTTACTATTCATAGGCGTCGGAAGCAATTTAAAAATTGGGGTGGGGGTGGGGTGGGGGGCTGTAACTGAAAGGGGGGAGGTGGTCTTTACCAACAAAAAAGGTAACTCCCAAGTTAAAATGCCTATATAATGTCTATCTTTGCAGAAAAAAAGAGGGGGGGGCGGTTCCGACGCCTATGCTATTAAAAACTGACCACAAACGCTTAAATCATATATTAGATGCCCTTTGCAAAACAAGAAAATACAACTCTCGGCATTTAGTATTGCTAGGTATATAATTGTAAGGTAGGGTATATTAAAGGTAGGTATAACCGTTGCGCAGACTTGCTTTCAAGACTTCCATCTAGTATACGTATTTAATTCGAACCACAGTGGTCAGGAGGATAGAAATGAAACTTACCCGGATATTAATGATAACTAAGTTGAAGTAAGTGCAATAAATTCAAACCGAATCGAACCTAAACGATTTGCTTCGCTTTCATCCGGGCCGCGGAGCGGGGCTTCTAAGATGGAGAGACACTATACGATTAGTTGACACGATCAGCAGCCACTTTACGATCGAGGTCCACTATCGGTGTACACTTTTCGTTCAACATTTGCATTATACGTATATATCACTTTCAGTACTTTAAAATAAACTCTTTGAAAAATACATTTTTTGTCATTATTAAGTGTTAGAAAAAGAGTCTTGAGACCATGATATGTGATCAAATAAAACCCACGTTTCAAGAATATCTTCACACTGTAAGTCCTGTATTCACTGGACCTGAAATGTTTTGTGAAAAGGTTTATCTATAGAACATTAAGCCCCTGACAGTGCCTCCATCGTATGGTGGCATATTTCTTCCCCCTACATGCTTGATAAATTATATTAACATGCAAGATAATCAAGTCAACATGCAAGTTACAAATTTTGAAAGAGAATCTGGTTTTGATTTAAAATCACTTACGTAAGCCCGTATCTGACATCGTAGATGCAAGATGCAACTTACATAATTATGCAAGATGCGGTTAACTTATGTTAACATGCGTGATATTTATTAATAAGTCGCATGCATGGTATTTATAAATAAGTCGCATGTTCACAAATTATTAAATAAGTCGCATGTTGGCATAATTTTTTCAATGAATGTTGACATAAATAAGTCGCATGTCTTCATAATTATGTTACATCTGGCATCTACGATGTCAGATACAGGTGTTTGTAAGTAAATTTAACCATATTTAAATTAATTTTCTTATATGATTGGTAATTTGCATGTCAACATAATTAATTTAAAACTCATCTTACATGCCACCATAAAATCATATATAATGATAAATCATCGAATAAATAAGAATCCTTTACAAATATACATTATTTTTATGAATTGCCGGAACTTTTATTTATATGTACAATGTTACGGTCAGATTTCATTCACTGATCTTTAATCTCCTAAAATTTTTAAGTTTGACCAATGGATTTTATACAACTGGGCAAAAATGATTGCTCGATGATACATGTATATCTGAACAAAGTGCAAATCATCCTTGGGTAGGGTGGAACAAGAAATTTATAATTTTGATGGTCTTGTCACTCCACTCAATAAAACATCTAGACTTCAAGTAATCGGCTCTGTTGGACGGTCAGAGGTTTGAAGAAAAAAAATCTCCGGACTAAAGATAATTATTGCCTGTGCAGGCGCACATATTAGGATTACATGTGTATTTTCAACAAACTGTACTAGGCCATATACGGGTATCTCCCAAGGAAAAATATTGAATGATATCGATACCGCATGTGTTATAAAACAAACAAGATGTGTTTCTGAAACACTGCTGCTCCCGTAGGGCAACATAAAATTAAACTTTTCTTAAATGCAAATTTAATATATTGGTACCCAAAGTAAGATATTCTTACTGGAAATACAATTGTGAAATATGAATGTAGGTCAAGGTTAAAGTTTTTCAAAAGTACAGAAATCTTCAAGGTCAAGGTCAAAAGGTCAAGGTAATTGGTATCCAATGAAAGGTCTTGCCACAAAGAATACATATGTGAAGCCCTCTCCCTAACCCTTTAAAAGTAATTGCCAAGGTTAACAATTTTTCAAAAATTAGGTCAAACTCTAAGGTCAAAGGGCCAAAATACCTGATACCAAATGAAAGGTCTTGTCAAAAGGATTAAATATGAAAGGTATGAAATCACTAGCCTTAACCCTTCTAAAGTTATGGTCAAGGTTTGTTTTTAAAAGTATGTCAAATTCCAAGGTCAAGGTCAAAGTTCTTGATATCGATCCAGGTCTTCTTACAAGTATTATGTATGTGAAGTATGAAAGCACTATCCCTTGGAGTGCAAAAGATATGGCTAAGGTTAATTTTTTTTATAAGTACGAAATCTCCAAGGTCAAGGTGAAATGGTCAAGATAATTGGTAGCGAGTGAAAGATTTTTCCACAAAAATACATATTTGAAGTATGAAAACCTTAACCCTAAGCGTTCAAAAGTTATAACTAAAGTAAATTTTTTTTAAAGTAGGTCGGTCTCCAAGGTCAAAGAGTCAAAGTTCTTGATATCAAATGAAAGGTCTTGTCACAAGGATTAAATATGTTTAGTACGAAAGCAATAGCCGTAACCCTTTAAAAGTTATGGTCAAGGCTCGCTTTGTTAAAAGTAGGTCAAACTTCTAAGTCTAGCTCAAAGGGTTAAAGTTATTAGTATTCAATGAAGGGTCATCTCAAAAGGATTACATGTGAAGTGTGAAAGCACTAGCCCTTACGGTTCAGAAATATGACCAAGGTAAAAGTTTTTACATAAAGGTCAAAAGGTCAAAATTGGTGGTATCCAATGAAAGGTCTATACGCAAAGAATATATATATGAAGTATAAAAGTCCTGGTATCTACTGTTCATAAAATATGACTTAAGTAAAAATTTTGAATTTTTGTGTAAAAGTGGGTAAAACTAATAGGTCAAGGTCAAACGAAAGGTCTTGTCACAAGGAATACACATGTGAAAATATTAACGTCATAGCTCCACTAAATCAAAAGTTATGGGCAAGGTTAAAGCTTTTGCAGACAAACAGACAATCAGACAGACAGAAAGAGAGACAGACAGACAGACAGACAGACAGACAGGCAGACGGACGGACACGACAAAAATATATACATGTTCCCTCAAAACTTCGTTTACGGGGGAAAAATGAAGTACTCATAAAAATTATATATGCTTAGTTTACAATGATAATTTTGTATGATAGTTATTCTTTCATATTTTACAGAACTATAGATTATTCCAAAGATGAGAAAGACAAGAAGGAAGTTGATATGTTACACTGTCTGTATCGTGTTTTTCCTGTCGTATGTTACCTTCAGAGGACTTCAACAGCTTCATACACCCTTGGAAACTTTGTCATATCGTATAAAAGATCAAAATATCCATCATCAAAAGAATGCTCTTTATTCTGTTTTAATTAATTCAAACAACTTCGCCATTTCTCTTGGAACATCTGCAAAACCATTCAAAGCTTTCAAAATACGTAGCTTCTCATCAGAAAAACTCGCCTTCAGACATAAATTACTCCCGAAATTTGAAAAAAATGAAGAGGGAAAATGCAAGAAATGGGCAGTTCTGACCACAATCTTCGAACCTTCGGAAGCCCTTCGGCGTTTCCTATACCTGCCTTCATGGTGTGTCGTGGTTGTTGGGGATTTAGACAAACCTAAAAAGTATAACATTCCATCATCATTAAAAAGACGTATGATATTTCTCAATCATGAGGATCAGAAGAAAATGGGATCACAATTTGTTGACCATTTACCTTGGCACAGTTTCAGCAGGAAAAATATCGGATTTCTATTTGCCATTTCCCATGGTGCAGAGATCATTTGGGACTTTGATGACGACAATATGCTAAAATTTTGGCTGGAGAACGCTGCAGTTGATCCTAACCAATGGATACAGACTTTCTTACAAACAAAAGTATCTGTATCTGAAATTGAGAAAGACAAACGAACCTTATTTTTTAATCCTTACAATTATTTGGGATCCAAAGAACAAAAAATATGGCCTCGAGGATTGCCTTTAAAAGAAATAGTACCTTTAAGAAATCAAACATTTAAATTCGTCCAAACTGAATTTCCTTTAGCGAACATTGGCATTTTGCAGTCGCTTGCTGACCATCAACCAGATGTTGATGCTATATATAGACTGACAGAGCATACACCATTTTATTTCGAGAAAGTACATTCAAAAGTAAAGAATACAATTATTTTACCACATGGACTCTACTCTCCAATGAATGCACAAGCCACTTTACATTTTCAGAAAGCCTTCTTTTGCTTGTATCTTCCGGTGACGGTAAATGGACGGGTTTCTGATATCTGGCGGAGCTACATTGCCGAGGTTCTACTTCCCTTCAGGGGACTTCATGTTGGCTTTTTACCCAGGCCGCTTGTAGATCAAGATCGAAATGTTCATAACTATGAAGGAGACTTCAAATCGGAAATTCCACTTTACATACAAACTAGTTCTTTTGTGTCTGTTTTGGAGTCATGGAGGAAAAATATCACTAAAGTTGATGATCATAAAAAGCGTTCCTTGGAAGATTTAATGGAAGACCTCTACGTTACTCTATATGAATGGGGTTTCATCGAAATAGATGATGTTGTGAACATCCAGTTATGGTTGAAGTCTATAAATTCCGTTGGATATGATTTAGGCCTTAGTAATAAGAGAAATACTGCTAAGAAGCCTTCTGGGTTTATAGTGAATGTGGGATCTAATATTCTTTCCAGACCTACAGGGATGCCAAATAAATGTGTAGACCTGACAAAGAAAAAGATGTCCGCTACATTTTGGACTTCCGACTTGCACGATGGAACAAGAATCGATGTACCCTCTTTACTATCCAGTTTGGGGCAAAGGTTCTATATAGCAGGCATCAAAGGGAGCAGATCGCCCTATCCAGAAGTATTTGGTCGCCCTGGTATAAACATCTACGGAAATTTATCAATGGAATTAAAGAATTACAAAACTCATTCTACGCCTTTATCGGAAATAAGTATCAAGAAAAATGCTGAATTTTACAGAGACGATTCAACATTCAAAAGTGTTGATGCTTTCTATTGTTCATTTCCTGCTTCTATGTGTGAGCTGTGGATGCCATTCAATGAAACAAAGTCAATTTTATTTCTACCCTCGCATAGGTATAATTTAGGTCGCTGTAATGTAGAGAGTTGGCAACAACTTAATGTCAAATTACATCGCCTGGCAAAAATGAAAACGGATCTTGGTTCCAAACATGTTATTGGTGCTGACAATCGATATGATTATGAATATCTTTATCACTACACCGGTATCAAATCTCTTGAGCTAATATCTAGTTTTTCAGGATTTTACACCGAAAAAGCTGTGTATAATCCAACAAAGAAAGAAATTCTTGCTGTTTTTGTCAAAGGTGGAGAAATTCCACCCGTTTTAAAAGATGTAAATTTCAATGTGACTTTTCTTTTCCATAAGTATATATATTACACGTTAAATGACTTGACGAGTTATCCAGCTGTTATATTTATCCCATATTCCGTTCACTCTTTTAAGATTACAGAACTCTACTCACTAAACATACCTCTATTTGTTCCGAGTCTAAAGTACTTCCGGCAAAATGGCGGATTGGGATCTGATCGCACAAGCACAAGTGCACCGTACTGTCAAGAAGATAAAGATCTGTGGAGGAAAATGAAGAAGCACCCATCCAGTTATCATTCGTTCAACCCTAACGCTGAATTCAGGGATAATCCCGAAGATGAAATGTATTGGTTGCAATTCAGTGACTTTTATGATTGGCCTCATATACAATATTTTGATGACAAAGTAGACTTGGAAAGAAAAATGGCCGAAATATCTGAGGCTGACTTGATACAAATTCACCAAAATATGAGAAAGGAAAATGAGATACGAAAATATGTTCTTCTTAATAAATGGTGTGACATTATTCCGAAAATCAAACACAAATAAAGGAAGGCATTAAATAAAATATATTTTTTTTGCAAAGCTATTGAACTAGGGATTTCAGATGAATGTTAATACTACATCAATTATTTTGATGTATCCTGGTGAGGTTGATATAAAAGAATACTTGGATACATGTATTTTACTTGAAAAAGAGACGTTAATGGTAATATAACAACCAAGATCTATGATGAACGTGATGACTTTTCTATTGTCAACTTCCCTTACTTATGCAGCAATATAATTTTATCATTTGCAAACGGAGTTCATTTATCTCAGTTGAATGCGCGAGATTATGCTCTTCGTTTGAAAAATTTCTAAAATGAGGTAAATTATTGACAAACAAGTTGATGAAAAAAGAATATCTATGGCACGCCAAATTCACAAAAATGAGCAAATCATAGTTTCACAATCGATAAACAGGTTTATGTTACCTATAGTTTACGGACTGTAAACTATATACGTTAATCTATATTTTACATCTGTAAACTATAGTTAACGCGATAATCTATGTTTCACAACCGTAAACTATACTTAACACCGAAAACTATCATTTGCGATTGCAAAACATAGATATCTGATAAATACAGTTTCACGATTTGTAAACTATAGTTTACAAACCGTTAACTATAGTTATTGATCTGATAAATATAGTTTCACGATTTGTGAAACTATGATTAATAACTCTTAACTATACTGTAAATCACTTTTTATTCGCGAGAACTTTATTTTCGCGTAATTACGCGAGACAGTGTGCTCGCGAAAATTTAATTCTCGCGTATAATAGTAAGATTATATAGAGCAATAACCACAATTCGTGAAAATTTTGTCTCGCTAATCAAGAGTCAATTACAATCTCGCGAAAATAAGGTGTCGCGAAAATTAAGGGATCTACAGTAGTTTACGATTGTAAACTATAGTTTACAAACGTGAATCTATGTTTATCAACAAAATCTATTGTTAACGCTTATTACAGACAGATAAACTTAGATTATCATTCGTAAACTATAGTTAACAACCGTTAAATATAGTTTTACAGATGAAAACTATAAACAATCGTTAACTATAGTTTACAGTTTGTAAACTATAGTTTACAGTAGTCAATAAACCTAGTTTATCAAATGTGAAACTAGGTTTATCTCATTTTTGTGAATTTGGCGCGCCATAAATATCAGCAGTCTCGTTTAAAGGTATCATTTCGTAAGTTCTATGGTCGATACAATGACATTGTAAGCAAATTCAATTTATCTTTGATTCATATACTGACTGACGTTTTTATACTAATTGTTAGGCCATTTTTATACACTGAATTGGCGTCGGATTTTCCTGTAATTTCCCACCATGACAAGGAGCACACGGCGGGTGTGACCGGTCGGCAGGAGATGTTCACTCCTCCATGGCACCTGATCCCACCTCTGATATTTTGGATATCCTTGTTTGCTCTGCTCCTTTTTTTTTTTATTGTTTTATTGACCTTTAATCTTGAATACTGTTCGTTATCGCTATTTGTTTCTTTTTAAACAAGATGCCTTTGGATATCTGAATATTACTACGTGTATAACCCTCAAAGTACGGAAGCCTTTTAAGATCAATTTATGGAGAGAGAAATTAAAGGCGTTATATATAACGCGAAAAGAAGCGTTTTTAGGCCTTTTAAAAAACAGTAATTACACGAAAAAAGCGTTAAATATGGCCTTTTCAAAATGCGATATTACGTCTTTCTTAAAGGCGTTATACTAGTGTAATGCCTTTCCAAAAGGAGTTAATTATTATGCCTTTCCAAAAGGCAATATTTCACCTTTAAAAAGGTTATTAAATAGTCTTTTTATTTTCAATGAATGTTTAACGTAGCTCTATGATGCGCTGATTTGGTATTTACTGCCAAAAAGTGATATCACCTATTCGAATAGGTGATATCACCTATTCAAATAAGTTATATAACTCATTTTATTCAATGGTATATTTTGCTCACAAATTAATTGATTTCACTTATCTATCATGTGTACGAGAAGAAAAAGGAAAAATCATAAAAAACGCATGATAAATGTCCTATAGAGAAAATGCCTCTGGCACATTATAAAGAGTTAAAGGCATTCCACTCTGTTGTATCCCAGCTGATTAAAACTTACAAAATTTATGTACATAACAGGAATCCATAACATCTAAGGTATATAAAAATTCTTTGGCCAAAAAACGGTTGAAAACTAGGCATTCCGAATTTTCTTGGTTCCAGTGGAAGTCCATATAGTCTAGGATCATTCATTTTTTATTGTTGTAAGAAATATCAATAAGGATATCACCTGTATTCGAATTGGTAATATCACCAGTTCAAATTGAGTAGGTGATTATTAGAATAGGTGATGCCTGTTCAGCACGAATAGGTGATATCACCTATTCGAACAGATGATATCACCTATTCATTTTAATAGGTGATATCACCAATTCGATTAGGTAATATTACCTATTCGAATAAGTGATACTGTATCACCTATTCGAATAGGTGATATCACCTATTCGAATAGATAATATCACGTTTGGCGCCTCATACAGTATAGCCCACCCAGGGCTGAAATCTTGCTCTCGGAAGATTGATATCCACAACTTAACATAGTGACAATTTCTCAACAAATAACAGACTGGGGATTCGATTTCTTGTGAAAGAAGGATCTGGAGATAACGAACAGTCTTCATTCTCAAAGTCCATAAAACAATAAAAAATAGGAGCAGATCAAACACGGACCTCCGAAACATCAGAGGTGGGATCAGGTGCCATGGAAGAGTGAGCATCCCCTGGTGACCGGTCACACCTGCCGTGTGCTCCTTGCCATGATCAGGAAATAGCGGAAAAAATCATCGTCAATTCAGTGTATAAATAATGGACTAACAATTTGTATGAAAAACGTCAGTCAGCATTTGACTCAATGATAAATTGTATTTGCTGACAAGGTCATTGTATCGACCTTAGAATTTACTAAATTATGACTTTAAACGAGACTGCTGATATTCTTGTTTCATCAACTTGCTTATCAATAATTTACCTCATTTCAGAAATTGTTCATACGTAGAGCATGCTCTTGCGTATGGAATCAGCTGAGATACATATACTCCGTATGCAGGTGATAAAGGTATATTGCTGCATAAGTAAGAGAAGTTGACGATAGAAAAGTTAAATTCATCACCTTTATCATATAGCTTGGTTGTTAGATTACCATTAACGTCTTTTTCAAGTAAAAATATCCAAATATGTAAGAGATGTGTCAGACTCTGTGGTATCTTTTATCTCAAGCTCACCAGGATATATCGTATCTACGTAGAAATGGAAATTACCATTGTTAATTGCCAATACGTCGTCGATATATCTAAATGTCGAGTTGAAGGCCACAGCAAGTGTTTTCTTCAGATTTTGCACAAATTTTGCTTCATATGAAAATAAAAAAAAGGTCTTCTAATAAAGGAGAGCAATTTGTACCTATGGGAATTCCAATAGATTGTTGGAATATCTGGTCTCCAAAAACCACATATTAGATATTGTCAATCTGAAATTCAAGCATCTCTTTGATGTCAACTTCAGAGTACTTGTGTGTGCAATCAGAATGCTTTTTAACAAAATAATTTTGCAAATGACCAATGACCAGGTAAGTAAATTTACGAGTTCCATTTTTATTGAAAAGCAGCTGTCAATGATATCAAAAAGCCTGGACTTTAATTTGTCGTGGGGAATGGTTGTGTATAAAGTTGAAAAGTCGTAAGTTTTTAAGCTGTTGATTTTTAAATTCTCAAAAAGTTCTTTGGAATTTTTGTATCCACATCTGATACACACCACTTCTTGAATATACTGTTGCACAGAATATTAAAAATAGTTTAAAACTGACATATGAACCCACAATATATCTTTTTTGTAAAGAATGAAGTTTGAAAATTCAAATTAGAATATTAAAAATATTTAAAACTGACATATGATTTTGAAGAATTTTGAAAATTAATTAGTAATATACTTTTAATGTTTGTTTAGCTTATTCCGTGTCTGATACCAGACACCTACCGAGGGTCATAGGTTTTATAGATGTGATTGAAGGCTAATTTTCTGATTAATTACGCCCCTTTTTGCGTTAAAACGCCTTTTATCCCGTTTAGTGACCACTTTCACCCATTTATATCTCTCCAACCTCACTTTACAACCCCCCTCTCTCATACATGTTAAGTAGTAGTGTTTTATGTATCTGAATTTCGTTTATTACTAAAATTAACAAGAACGTTGAATATAAATATGCATGAAATCAAAACTTATTATTTGACGAATTTATTATGAATTTTCTTGAACATTTGTTTTGGTAAAAAATATTATCTTTAATTTCTTTAGTTTTCTTTTGTCCTTCTCATAGGTAAGAAAGAAATAAGATTTAAATGTACATGTATTTACAAGTATTGTCAAGGTAATTCAATACAGTAAATGCATGAACTTGAAGGGGATATAACTTTTTAAAAATCTGTATTTCAGTGAGTATGTTTATATAAGAGGGTGTGTGTGTGTAAAGGATAGGCGGTGGTAATTCCATTTTAAAATCGTGTTTATGCTCCTAGACATCCATATTGTTGCATATACTTTTTGCTGCATGGTTGTGCGCCTGTGACCGTGAATCTAAATTCAGTAACCTGTTCGTGCTTTGACGGGACTTTTAACACACCCATTCAAAAAGTCCGTATATGGATCAGTGTCGAGACACGACCTGGCTACTGAGTTGAGATTCACTGCCATACATACATACAACTATATAAGAAAATAAGTGTCGTCACATTCGGTGGCCCTTGGTGTAAGCGTTGCAAATGCATTATGTCTTATTTCGAGAAAGAAATTAAAAACTAACATTTAAGTCATACAAATGTTCAAAAATATTTATAATAAAAGGTCAAATAATTACTTTTGATGTCATGCATATTTGTTTAACTGTTATTGTTAGGGATTTCAGATGCACTACAACTTAAAAAAAGTATTATATTTCTTTTATAGTTTTTTGGGAGAGGGGTTACAAA